AATTCTCTGGCGATATATAATCATATAAATGTTAACCGTTTATTGAAGTATAACTCATTAGGCAAGCAGTCCTACCTACATTCTGATGATTGTGGGTTCAGTTTTTAAACAGCGTCCATATCTGTCAGTATCGAACAAGAGTTTTAGCCTGAAGAACAGCTTTTGATGGTGCTACTGATTAAGCGCTGGAATACTATGATTGATACGTGTTTTTTGGTAAAGTATAAATACAGGAGGATATTCTATATCGACGTTTTACATTGTACCAGACTCAGGAAATATCGTTCCGCAGGTTGTCATTCGAATTAATAACACAATATTTATCCAATAATTAATCTATATTGGGTTATTGCAAACGACAAAAGGCCATTTGCAAACCGTACAAAAGAAATATAAATATTTTTTTACCAATTTCTGGTAATATTTCAGAAACGAAAGTAACTGACGATATCGTCTAGAAATATAAAGACAGCTATATTTAACGTATGTTGTGAAAAAAATATTAGCATAAGTGTAATTGTTTAACTTTGATTACGCTATAAGGTATATACATACCTATTCTGTTGCAGAATTGACTACCACAAATATATATCTGTAAAGGTTCCAATTGTTAAATCTAAAATATTTAGAAACTGAAACCAGGATGTCACTCAGTTCTTTCCAACAGTTAAACTTTCTTCCTAAACTAGTCGATATTTTAAAGTCCTGTTCAGAAATCTATATCGTGTAGGTGTAATTAGTCACTCCTTTGTGTGGATTTTAAATTTGCAGACGCCTTTACACTTTTGAATGGCATGCACAATGGCGTGAACAGATACATAGGACAAAAGCCTTTAAAATGTGATGATACTAATAATTTTGGTGTTTTTACCTGCAGCCCGAGAATTTACGATGTTTTGTAACAACTATAACAACGATACACAATGATGTTTCTCCTACTTTTAAATATACATTATGCTCTTTTCTTCAACGTAATATTGAAAAATACGATCGATAAGCAAAACTTCTGGTCACTTGTGCATATTTTAATTCTTTCAATAAATACCTCAGGTAAACTATTAAGCAACACTTTTTATTCAGGGAAAAGGTAACAAAGTTTTTGATAAAGTGGTGTTTTAGGTATTGGTTGATAACCATATTTTATTATTGACTCTACAAATTGGTTTAACGTTCACGTGGTTTGAAATTATGTAAAAATCATTGTGATGTAAACAATGAGAAATCCTGTTGTAATGGAATGTATAGATCGTCAGTAGCAGGGCGATATGAATCGCTGGTAATTTTGTCCTGTATACAAATTGATTGCAACCACTGGGGAAACATTTATGGTAGTAATAATTACTATGCATTTTATGTGTACGGTGTACAGCTGACGTCGCGAACGTTACTTCATGTTGAACCTGTCACCATCGATTCACAGGACAGTTCAGACAGGCTCACTAATGGCTTTACGTTTAATGCTAATATCTTATTTACTCTGATCTACCGACAACAAAAGTATTATCAAGCGTTGTTGATCCACTCTGAGTTTGATTTATACATCTCTTCTGTTTCGAGAAGCGGGTACTCCGGGGATAAGTGTTGATCCACTGGTTATAAAAGATGTAAGACATTTCTACCAGCCTAGTGTTTACTGTTCTACTTACGTCAGTGGTGAGAGAAACGGATCTAGTCAATATTGTAAACAACTGATCTACTACTAAAGACCTAACACTAAGTGTGACTGGACATTAATACTGGAATAAGGTTAGTATTGTTTTATAAACCCACTAAAATCAATATATTCTATAAAGAAACGTGGAAACAATTCTACTTAATATAATTTCAATCTTAAGTATTCTCATTGAATGAAAAGTATGATTGTATGATATTCAATTTATACATTTATTCGTCGGTTATGTTACAAGTTACTACCATATGTATTTCCAAGTCTGATAATGATTGTAATGTTATTGTTTTATTACTTCTATTCGGATAATTATTTATCTGCTTTACCTATTGTTGAACAAAAATATCATACCTATGTAGCTGTTATTTGTATTAGTCTTTCATGTGATTAAAATTTTATCATATATAAATATATAAACAAAGTGAATCATCAGTAACTTCAAACAATCTTAATCATTCGTGATGTTTTCTAACATACATAAAACTTTCACGGAACATGTGAAACTTTCATGTTATGTATCAAATGATATAACTTTGTACTGGGAAAATGTATAATCATTTTAATGGTTAAAACATCACATCGATTTCTTTATGTACAGATATACCATACTGTAGTAATATTCTGTACACGTCAGTATCAGCAAACAGAAACGGAGAATAAGAAAACAAATAAACCATTTGATATAAAACACGACTATGAGTACGTATGCATCTTACAGATGGAAGTTGAGGATATCAAAATCATTTTTTACTGTTAAATGATGCAACGGTAGAATTTTTTTCATGTACATGCATCTAAATCACATATCAATTTGTCTCATACAGTTAAGTACTAAGATTTGACATACATAGTGCATTCAAACTGATGTTGAAAATTTGGTCAAACCAGGAAGCGAGGTTTTTTTTTCCAGAAGCCATTTGAAAAATGCGACGCTCTTCCATTCAATGTATTGTATCTTATTTTACGCGGCAGAACTTGCTCTTCCCATCATGAAAAAATCATATTTACACGACTTTACAAAGTTGTGTTCTCAAATGCATCTACGGTGTGCTACAGCTTATATCAGTGGTTCTATCAGTGGTTTGTTCTTTGCCATTGATGATCGATAAATCAATCACAAATCACTTGTAACATTTGATAGGGAGTAGTAAAAGTTACGATCCTATAGTCTAACTAAATTTTACCCACTTATTCGGTGAATTCTCCCATGGGATATCATTGCAATTATTACCCTGGAACGTGTTATTTGGTTGAGCCAATCATTTATTGATTCTGTCATTTCATGTGAAATTTAGTGAAGATTTGTTACATAAAACCTCATATGAATTTAAAACTTGTTTTGGATCCAATTTAAATGTCTCTTGTCCATTGTTTCTTTTCGCTGTTGCCAGTCCGATCATGTCCGGTAAGTCCGCTTTCAGAAACGTTTGTCATGGATGGATACCATTATGAATTGTAGAATTGTTTGAACGTAAAGTTCTGGGCATAGTTAAGAAAGACACAAATAACTAGTATTATCTTTGAATACAGTTATAGCATTAGATTCAGCAGAGTCAAAGGATGAAGTAAACTGCACAATACAGAATACATGGTTAGTTTCTTAAGATATAAGCAAGGCAAGAGTAAAGAAAGACAATAGTGGCAAGCCAAAAAGACAGCTTTTGATTTAAGACATTAGCCATTTATTCTATTTATCATGCAACATTCATCAAAATAAGCATATTATTGGCAAAGATATTGACAATATTCAAGACAAAATGACTTTAACTTTGGTTTCGGTCGACGTCGAACGTTTCAGTATAGGCGATCAGCTGTAGAACTGAAACCAAATGTAGGTCAGATGACGTACATGTTGAAGTATTCCAGGGTAATGAATTGAAGGTTTTTGTTTCCAATTATTTGCACTTTGTCAAGTTGGCGGTATGTTTTCATTCCTTAGTATTTGCATCAAATGTTGTGTTCTCTGTTTTGCTTCCTAGTTAATAGTTCCGTTTGCATTTGTTTCTGTTTTATAAACCACTTTTTCAGAACATCCGTTCGTGGATGGCATTTTCTCGAGGGCTGTATAAAACGTGCCGTCAATTCCGGAGAATCCTCTTGGACAGTTTTTTCTGCATAAAATTATTATATGGGTACAGACTCCCGTTGGAAAACTTTATTTAATTCTAAAAATCATTTTCCGTCAGATGCCTGCTTTAGCGTGATATCTCCCGATCATAAATCATAATGTTCTCTGACTCCTAGGCCAAATGTGTACGGAATTGCTCACTCATACAGTGTTTGATAAATCCATTTTGGTGAGGCTTCCCCTACAATTCCCCCTCCCCACTCCTCCTGACTGTTGTGTCATGATCTGTTGTTTTTGTTTGTTGATTACAAGTTGTGACTATAGATAGGAAGACGACGGCAAATATGTCAGAGAGCAAATCGACGGAAATTCAGACACATGATGTTTTGGACATTACTAATGCTATTTATTTATATTAGTGAATTATTTAGTGTACATGGTATCAGCAATTAAAGCGTTCAGTTACGTGAGTGATTTACCGTTTGTTACCTTATAAATGAAGCCCAAAGACCAGCGTTCGCGCCGCTCATAATTTACATCCGTGTTAAAATACTGATTTCGTCGCTGTCGAATACGCCATAAACATGACTAATATTTATTTTACAATTAAGCTTGAATAGTTACGTGAAGTGATATGACTTTTCTGACATAAAGATATTTTTTTAGTAAAGTAATATTTTTCATATCTTGTATATATGTAGATATCTAATAATGTATAGATCCACTTCAGGCACTAAGCAGTTCCCTTGACAATATAACGCCGTAAACGTTTTATATAACCGTCTTCTGTTATAAACTGAAGATAATATTGCCACCCAGGACAAGATATTGTTAGAATATATGTAATAGATAGACCATGATTGATTATTACGGTCACATCATCGCATGAGCTTCCTAATCTGCGCTCAATGTTAAATCATGATCACCATTAGAACAGTACATCAACATTCGACATCGGTAATTCATTAATCGACTGTGTTTCACTGACAGTGTGGTCCTTGTCCGCACGATGTATGAACGATGTACACACGGTAGGTTTGGTATATTATGTAATGAAGTGTTTCTGATGTATGCTGCAGACCATATCAGTACAAAATTTCCTTTCCTATTAAAGGGAGATGAATGAAATTCTTATAAACAGTTTCATGAGCTTAATACTTTGCCACAGACATATCAGTAACCAATCTCCTTCAGGTACATTCAGCGGTTTACAAGTGATTTCTACCCTCTTCGAATAAGTAGCATGGAAATGGATTGTGAAAAATGAACTCAAAGAAGGAAAAAAGTAGAGTAGAATCTCGAGCAAAGGAGGAAAAACCCACGAGCTATGGAGGAAAATATGGAAGTGATGCATGGAAAAAAGACTCGAAGTGGAAACCCGCCTTTATCACAGCTGGGGAGAGGAAGCCCACTGTGTTATCAAACAAAGAAGACGAAGACAGCAATATTGAACAGTCGGAAGAAAAAGGAAACTTGCCCCCTACAGAACCAGCTCCTGATATATTTGATGGTATGTGAAAAAAGGAAATCATATTTGGTTCATTTTGAAGGAAATCTTAAACATTTGCTTTGAATATATATTGCCCCATATCCTCTATTATATTATATCCTTCACAAATGATGTTAATCCTGTCAACATTGCTTTTCTTTTGAACAGATTTAGACTCCAGCATCTTGTCGTCAGAGTCCGACATTAATTCCCCACCACCCTCCGTAAGCCTTTCACAGACTGTCTATACAAAAGCATGTAATAAGTTGGGTCTAGTGCCCTCAACGTATTTCTTCAAACACTTGACAGAGGTGGCTCTGGTTATGCCTCATCATGGTATCGGACCAAGAGGAGCAAAAGCTGTAGCTATAGCACTTGTTGTACGTATTTGGGTTAAGAAGGAAAGACAATGTGATTTATTGAATTCGTTATGCATTTATTTATTTTCTATATCTCCAACGTTAACAATTTTACGTCGAACGTAAAATGGCGTAATCAGTTGTTTGTGTTTAGTAAACATTACAGGGTCAGTAAAAAGACAGTTTTTATACTGATTTAGGTCAATGAGGTGACTTATACGTTCGCAACACCACCTTGACAATAAAGTGATGTTAACCATAAAATCAAATAATTTATTTTCTAACCTTGTCAATTATGAAACATGGTATCCGTGCGTTACTGAATAAGTCAGTAGAACTACGTGCTACATGGTGAGTACAAACAACACAAATATAGACAGTCAGGCAAACACCTTGGATAACAATGGTGCTATATTAAAATCAATAGACCATTGTTAAATAAACCTATATATAAAACAATTTCGATTATTGATAATGTTATACAATTATCCTTATTTATATTGTGTTTGCTGTCGTTCAAACAAAGCAAGTATTTTTTCCTAATGTAGTCTAAAATAATAATTGTTTTAAGGATAGGCATCCAGGAGAAGGTTAGGCAGCGCCGTGAGTGTGCTAACTGTGGTACTCCTACGTTATATAGTTTTACAACCAGATTAATCTAACCATGCTGGGTGACTACATTGAAATCCACGACACAAATGAAAAAATATGGAAACTTCATGGAATCAAATAAGTCAGGAGTAGTGATCTCGTATGAATGCATAATGAAAAACGAAAATAAATTTATAATCAACAATTTGCTGCTGAGCGAGCAAATGTTGATTTGTATAATTATCTATATGTGAAACGAAACGACAGAAAATTACAAAAGACAACAAATGTGAATGAATAAAAGGCTAAACGTTAATTTGTTTAAAATTAACATATATCAACTGTTAATTGGATATGTTTAGTCTGGAATACAGATGATGATAACGTTACATATTTGATATAATCTAGCTTTATACTGGTCATCTTAATCTTCTGTATAAACAAACGTATATGAAATACACTGGTAATCGAAAGATTCGTTTTGAGCAAATATGTTTTTGAAATGTATATCAGGTGCAGAGATTTCATAAATTAGACACAGGAGGTTATCGAAAAAAATACCAGTTTGATATTTTCATCTTGTTATCCAAAAGACAATAATTCAATATTTTTAATACATGTTCAAATCATTTTCTACATTTACTCACGATGTTCAACATTTCTGTTTAAGAAATATCGTTTGGTTTGATATAGATTATTTCCCCATAATAAACTATAGTTGGGACCTATCAGATGTTGAATCTCAATTTTGGTGCAAGATTTATTCAAAATTACACACCATGCACGCTCCATATATATATGTTTTAAAGATTAATTGAAATTTTGAATCCGTCATTCTATCTTTAACAACATTGCGATAACAAATATCAGTGTCAATCATGTGATATTTACAAGTACGCCACATCGTAAATAGTCTATAGTGAAATGTGTAGCAACCTTGTGAAATTTTGTACTCTTAGCTGTTTACTTTTTATCATTTTTCGCGTTACACCATATATTGATTTTTTATACTATTTCTATTTTGAAAATAACTGAACTCAAATTAGTTTTTTGTGTAATTGAATAATGAATAACAACTTGCTTTTCTTACCTATTAAAGCCGAACCAGACCATTAAAACGCTTGACCTCTCAAGTAATGCTATTGGAAGCGAGGGACTATCACATATACTTGACATGTTGTCTGGCAACACGTCCATCAAAGAGTTGGTGAGTATTTTCAATGTTATAAGATAATGTTATTAAACAGTCCCAACTTGTGAGCAATATTGTAATTGACAGGATGACGTTTAGGTCGTGTAGAGTTTCCACTGATATACTAGTTCCTCCCAAAGGGGCGTTTCAGAGTTATCGATATCAGCTATATGTTAGTTACCCAAGTTTTAAAAGTCTTTTGGTTGGGATAATATGATTCTCTGTTTCCCTGCTATGCTCGATATATCTATTGTGATTTATCTCAGAGATATAGGAAAATAAATGTCCTTACCCTAGGAGCACCACGTGTTGAAATGATTGAAACAGAAAAAATAGAATATTATGGATGATTCTACTATGACGACCATAGAACTTCCCCATAATTTTCATCAACCTGTATCATTAGAAACACTGTTGTGAGTTTGTCTGTCAGTTGACGACATCTTGCACCAAAATTATAATATTGGGACTAGGACCTTGAATATTGCGGCAGGTAAACACTAAAGGTTGGCGATGCAGTTGTGTTGGTATCCAGAAGTGAAAAAGTCGCTGCAGGAAAACTGAAATCATCACCCTGATCATACAGTTTGATGAAAATAGTCCATGTTGTAGATTAAATTCGCGATACGTCTGATGTACAAGAGTCTGCTGTGTCCTTGATTTCCACATCTGGTGAGAATTTACAGTGGACATGTTCAATAAATCTTTTGTTTATCTGAAAGCGATATTAAAGAACTTAGCAAGGTCTTTTAATCTGTTTTGATAAGTTCTTCAATAAATTCAGTCAAGTACGAGAAAAAAAGAAATCAGCCGACAGTTAATTATTTAGGTACAGATAATTTCCATTTCTATCACCAAACTCGACGAAGAATCAACCAAAAATTCGATCATTTTTATGATTTGTCCTGCATATTTTTCTCTTTTTTTTTATTTTGACATATCTTTCACAAAATCAGTGTAGTTAACAACCGTATGTCTGTACCGCCGTTCACCTTTCACGTGTAACAAATCTCTCATAACAAGAAATCGGAGGAGTTCTTTTAGTATAGAGTTGGGTATGGTAGTGTGTAAAGGGGAAAACTACATTATTCTGATGAAAAAAAATGTATAGAAGAGGATAGTGAAGATAAGTCAGAAGCTCTTTAGAGGTCTTTAAATTACACGTATCGCCAATTCCCTTTCCTGAGTAAACAATATTATATTTAGACAATAACTATTAATTGCTAGTACTTAGAATGGTACGAGTGAGATGTTTAGACCAAGGTTTGGCTAACAACTGGACGTTCCAACAATAAATCACTCTTTATGTGGATTCTTGTGAAGTTTAGGAATATCAATATAAACTGGGGAGGTCCGTATTCTTGTCTATAATTAGAACTCTCGACATTGTAATAATGAGGCATGATTAGCCGGTATTTCCGTTTTGGAAAGATTGGATAATGTGCAGTTGGGATTTTCGTCGCTATAATGAAAACCTGCGTCTGGTTGTTTGTTTTTTCCGTCAGGTGACCAATACAATCCAGTCAGTTACCATTTCATAAAAATGAGGTATTATCATAGGATACGAAACAGGTGATGATACATTTTTGTATCGATGCTCCTTTAACTTTGTCAAGTTTCTCTGTGTAAATATTTTGTATATGTGAAAAATCAAAAAATCAAAAAGACGGTAAAAATAAGGTTCTCTAAATATTTCTTTTAGAATATATCCGGAAACGGTTTGCTTTCGGCTGGAGCCAAAATGCTCAAGGAAGAATTATCTTGTCATCGCTCTCTAACAAGTTTAGATATATCAGGTAAGGTATCAACAACTGATATATAAATGTTTAACATTAAGATGCAGATATGTATGTATAGGTGTTCAATGTTAAATAATGGAAAGAAAGTTTAAACAATGTTTTCGTAGATCAGCCACCATAATAACACCCTACACGACCTTGTAACATGTTAATCGTGGTATTAAGAAACAGATCACATGAAGATATTAAGAACTAGTCTATGAATGTCGGATTAAATTTAGGTGATCGGTTGTCGTAGTAGTAACGTTCTCAACTTTTACCTATGCGTCCGTGGTTCGATTCCGCGATCGGACAAGAAAAGGTATGAGGTCACCTACCCAAACATGATGGTTTTCCCCGAGTACTACTCCCATGCTTCTGTCCGGGTTAACAGGAGTGATTCATAGATATGGGGAAAACTTATGTCTCACACGTTGAAAAATTGTTAAAGTTTGATTTTTAATGCAGTTCCTATATGTAAACGTCGGCGTGTGACAGGGAAAGTAAAAACCAAACAAAATTGTTGTTCCAGAGAGTGGCACTGTTTGTTAAATGACTATTAACGAGCTTTAAAGACTTTTTAAACAATAGGAAGCCATGAAGCCAGAAAGAGAGATAATTGGGGATGCCTTCTCAGACAATCAGTTAATTTAGGCTGTTTCAGACACAAGAAATAAAAGTGAGATACGGAAAGAGAGAAAATTGCGGCTGTTTCTGATCCCAGAGATAAAAGTGAGATAATCATGGAGCGAGCGCTTAGTATGAGTCCTTATCTCCACTGATAACAAAAACCAATTGCTCGTCAAGACATTTGTCATTAATTGTCAAAATAATCGATGTTTAATAGGTCGAAAGCGATATTGTAATGCCGAGAGAGATACGAGGCATTGATTCTCATCAGTCATAAAAAACATCACAAATATGAATTGTGAAGGACTTCTATCCAGAAAACTACACGTGACGTCGCCGTTGTTTATTTGCATTGTTCACAAATTAATGGTGTTAAAGAGTCCTGACTCTAGATTTAAAGTGCTTTGTGAAATTGTCACTTCAATATCGATGGAGAGTTGACATTTAACACATGTTCGCAGAGGAACACTGCATCACACGATCGATTTCGTTCGTTAGGATAAAGATATTGTTATCGATATTTTCTTCATATTTACATGGATTTTGTTTTAACATATTAAAGTTGTTCTGATTTATAAGCAGCTATAGAGTTCGCCAGTTATCATCAATAAATGTGATTTAGCATTCATATCTACTTTGAACTGTTTTTCAGCGAATGGTTTCAATGAAAAGGACGCCGATGAAATTGCTGATTTACTTATAGTAAGGTTCCAATTATTACACAGTACACGTTCTAGCCCATGTGTTGTGTCATAGTACATTTAATCTTCACAACAGCTGTTAAATCAACTAATTGTGGCACATGGTAATCGATCACAAGACACGTGACGTAAATAGAACTAAGCAGTTTCCCATCATATGTAATCGTTCACCCGCACTAGGTTATATATTGAACTCCATATTATCACAGTATCGATTGAAGGTAGGGTTTTTTCTTCTGGCACACCTGTATTTTTGCGGGTTTCGGATTTTAGAAAATATGCTTTTAGGGTATATCATCTTTTAATCGATTACAAAAAAGGTATAATTGTATTTCTTTTTCGTGCATTGTGCAAACTCGTGTTCTATTGATATACATAGTATAACATATTTCAGCATTATTCTTTAATACCACTTTGACTGGTATATTATGTTTTAAGGTTTTAAACATTTTTTCATTCCTGTGTGTGAAGTATCACGTTTACATTAACAGGATAATTCTACATTGAGACACCTGGCTGTCGGACACAATACATTTTCAGAGGGAGGAGGTGCAGCTTTCGGAAAAGCTTTAGGTATCCGATTAATGTTTTATTAGGGAGAATATTTATACTAGGCTAGCTTAAAGTCTCTTTTTATTTCTGTTAAGGCTGTTGTTACCATACTAACTAATTTGCGATGTTTGTATATTGAATGTTAATCGGATTGTGATAGCTAATTTGATCTGACACCAGATTTTTTGGTTTCTGTATTTAAAGAAATATATTGCGGTTACCATACTGAATCAACCAATATATAGTATCCTTCTGTCGTTCCAGAGGAAAACTCAAGCCTCCAGTCATTAGATCTACGATGGAATCATCTGCGACAAACTGGTGCTGTTTCTATATGCTGGGGCCTCTATGTAAGTTCATGTACCTTAAACCACTTGCGGAAGAAAATGGCCATGAAATTGTCTATTTCCTAAAGTACCTTTCTTGTTTCTCTAATTTCGTACACGTTTTTATTTACAATGTATAACGATTTTTTTTCTCGATATTCTCGATCTTCCCAATATATGAATTTTGATATGTGTTAATGTTGACACTGCGGATTCTCACCATTGCTTTAGAGTAACAACACACTAAAATCCCTGAATCTGTCCTGGAATGGTTTTGGAATGGAAGGCTGTCATGAGATGGGAAAGGTACTCATGCGTAACCGCGGTCTGACAGAGTTGGATTTGACCGCGAATCGTGTAGGACTAGACGCTTTCCGCCAACTTCTTAGAGGAATTGTCAGGAACCGAAAACTGCGAACAATAAGGGTACAACAGCTAAGTTGTGGCATAAAGTCTATATCAGTTCAGTAGAACTCCATTACACCTATGAAAGCATATACAGCGTAGCGCATTCGATATGGTAGTATTTTTTCTTATTAATTTCATGTAAATTTGCAATTGACTGGCTGTTTGTATTGTCATGTTGCCCTTTCTCTGCTTAACTAGTTTGATAATGGTGACAAAACACGATTGTACTATAGGTGCAATATCATTCAAAAGTTACAATATAGGTAAGAAAGTGATCGTGCCTGCAATTGATTTTCATATTTTATATATCATTGCCTTTAACTAAACCATTCAAAAGTTTATTGGAAAAATGATAGCAGCAGGTAACAATTAATATTGAAATAATCATCGATAAAAATGTATTAATACCTCACTGACACAACCTTGTCTTGAACATAATTAATTATAATCTGCTAAAATGAAAACAACAAAAGCAACTTCCATTAACTTTATAATACCTCGACGATAAATACATTGTGTAACAATACGTTTTGTGCTGATACATAACTATATTGCGTTCTATCGCCCTGGTATATCAAATCGATATTAAAACACCTTGAGCGAGACAAAATGTGGTAATGTGTAGTTGTATCAGCGATGTATCTAATGTTCTATACAACTTAGATCGACTTACTGACTGCTATATAAAATATTATATTATTATTTCGTTTATGATTGTAATTTTGTTCCCTTCGTTTGTACAATACGATCGATTATATCGTAGAAAAAGTCTAACGTTTTCATCACATAATTTCGTTATGCGTGAAAGGTACGCCCCAGGAAATAATATAGTGTTTCAGAAGTTTTTGACTTGTGTTGTTAGATTTCTTATATGTCTGATATCTGTTACAAACTCAAATAAATTTCCAGTAAGACGGGAAATATTCTATATCGGAAAAGTTTTCAAATCTGTTTTTCTTTTTCATTTATTTTCATGCAGGCGCTTTATAATTATTTCTCTAATACAAAATATTTCGAACGAATAAATCAAATGATTTTAGCGTATAATTTTCACTAAATATGTCGGATTACCATTGATGCGTCAATTCAAGAAACAAAAATAACTGAAGTGATATCATTACAACTATATTTGTTTGCACTTGATGACGATAATTACCGCTTTTCGTTTAAGTTGGTGTTGCCAAGGTAAACCATAGATTATATATGATGATCATCATAGATAAAGATATACAAGACATATTTATTGTCGTATCTTTTAACTGGAGTTATATATCGTGATAAAAATCATTACATGCCATAAAACATTACAAAATCTATGGTATAATGATTTTCTGTAATAAAAAAGAACTTCCTATTCTCAAAACATGGTAAATAATGAGGTACATTATGGATTAAATAAATATCACTCCCTTATCTAGAAATGGGAAAGTTTAATTATACTTTGCTTTAAAACCTCAACAAACAATTGACTGAGACTTAAAAATTCAGTCAAATACGTTAATGATTCCAACCACGCTCTTTATACAATTATGTACTTATAAATAGGGAATGGGACCGCAGAATGGCCCACACAATTAATCACTCATTGTTTGATTTGGATTGCTGGACAAACTCAAATAATGTTGTTATTGTTAAGATCATCGATTTCTTTGCATGTTAAACACATGGTACTTGATCATTAATGGAATGTTATTTTTTACAGATTGGCATCAACCCAATAACAACGGACGGTGCGACAGCCATACTTCGAGCTGTCTGTGCGTCCGATTCTAACCTGACGGAGATTGACATGACGGTAAGTGCAAATATGTGCGTTGACCAGAGGATTACTTTGATTCCGATATAATTGCAATTATTCATATTTCCTTTGATAGTTCTACAGTAATATTTATATCATATGAAATAACCAGAATAAAGTGAAATATATAGCGCTATAAATGACAGAGGGTGTCCATTATTGTTGGTACGAAAGCGGCGAGCATCTTCAAAATGGCCTTGCCATTGAAGAGTTCTACCACAGATAATATACAGTATAGACAATTCATATCTGAGAACATGTTAGATATAAATATTGTACGGCTATAACATTTACATCGTTGATTGATGACATGTCAATGTCCGATGTCCTCTACGGTCTGATTCATTTCTTGTAAAAGCCCGTGATAAGGTATCTAGAAATACGAACATCTACATCCTTGTGATCATTCAATATTGGTAAGAACGACATTCATTGAATTAGGATTCCTCTGTTGCATCCGAAGTTTCCACAATTCAGCCCCTTATCCTGTATGGACGAAACAGGTATATGATGCAGTTAAATTGTTTGGCTCTACTGTATCTAATTTGTATTGAGAGGTTCTATTTTTGTTCATTTAGTAACCATAATGCCTATTTCCTTGTATTTTAGGTTTACAATGGCTTCATGAATAGGGTTAACATATCATTCTAGCTAGGAGAACAAATCTTCAATAATGCATGTCGTCTCTCTTAAGTTTAACCTAAGACCTTTGACCTTACACAGGACGTTTCGGTCGACAATGACTTTGTATCACTTCTACATGAGGTTCAGAAACAACGACAAATGAAAGTGACGTATGGTAATCTGTTACGTCACGACGAGATACGTCGCGGGAACGCTAGCTGGGTACTGGATAGTGATGATCCAGTGGCAATCTTGTTTGAATACATGAAGCAGAAGAATTTGCGTCTGATCGACCTCCTCCACAATCTGGACAAGGACAACAGCGAGACACTGTCGAGGGACGAGCTCCAGATAGGTCTGTCGGTGAGTAAACTGACACAGCTCCAGTTAGGTCTGTCGGTGAGTAAACTGTCACAGCTCCAGTTAGGTCTGTCGGTGAGTAAACTGACACAGCTCCAGATAGGTCTGTCGCTGAGTAAACTGTCACAGCTCCAGTTAGGTCTGTCGGTGAGTGAACTGTCACAGCTCCAGATAGGTCTGTCATTGAGTAAATAGACAAAGGTCCAATAAGGTCTGTCGGTGAGTAACCAGACACAGGTCCAGTTAGGTCTGTCATTGAGTAAACAGACAAAGGTCCAATAAGGTCTGTCGGTGAGTGAACTGACACAGCTCCAGTTAGGTCTGTCGGTGAGTGAACTGACACAGCTCCAGTTAAGTCTGTCGGTGAGTAAACTGACACAGCTCCAGTTAGGTCTGTCGGTGAGTGAACTGACACAGCTCCAGTTTAGTCTGTCGGTGAGTAAACTGACACAGCTCCAATTAGGTCTGTCGCTGAGTAAACTGGCACAACTCCAGTTAGGTCTGTCGGCGAGTAAACTGGCACAGCTCCAGTTAGGTCTGTCGGTGAGTGAACTGACACAGCTCCAGTTTAGTCTGTCGGCGAGTAAACTGGCACAGCTCCAGTTAGGTCTGTCGGTGAGTGAAATGACACAGCTCCAGTTAGGTCTGTCGGTGAGTAAACTGACACAGCTCCAGTTAGGTCTGTCGGTGAGTAAACTGTCACAGCTCCAGTTAGGTCTGTCGCTGAGTAAACTGGCACAACTCCAGTTAGGTCTGTCGCTGAGTGAACTGACACAACTCCAGTTAGGTCTGTCGGTGGGTGAACTGACACAGCTCCAGTTAGGTCTGTCGGTGGGTGAACTGACACAGCTCCAGTTAGGTCTGTCGGTGAGCGAACTGGCACAGCTCCAGTTAGGTCTGACGGTAAGTAAACTGGCACAGCACCAGTTAGGTCTGTCGGTGAGTAAACTGGCACAGCACCAGTTAGGTCTGTCGGTGGGTGAACTGACACAGCTCCAGATAGGTCTGTCGGTCAGTAAACTGACACAGCTCCAGTTAGGTCTGTCGATGAGTAAACTGGCACAGCTCCAGTTAGGTCTGTCGGTGAGTAAACTGGCACAGCACCAGTTAGGTCTGTCGGTGAGTAAACTGACACAGCACCAGATAGGTCTGTCGGTGAGTAAACTGACACAGCTCCAGTTAGGTCTGTCGGTGGGTGAACTGACACAGCTCCAGTTAGGTCTGTCGGTGAGTAAACTGTCACAGCTCCAGATAGGTCTGTCGGTGAGTGAACTGACACAGCACCAGTTAGGTCTGTCGGTGAGTGAACTGACACAGCTCCAGTTAGGTCTGTCGGTGAGTAAACTGGCACAGCACCAGTTAGGTCTGTCGGTGAGTGAACTGACACAGCTCCAGTTAGGTCTGTCGGTGAGTGAACTGGCACAGCACCAGTTATGTCTGTCGGTGAGTGAACTGACACAGCTCCAGTTAGGTCTGTCGGTGAGTAAACAGACACAGCTCCAGTTAGGTCTGTCGGTGAGTGAACTGACACAGCTCCAGTTAGGTCTGTCGGTGAGTTAACAGACACAGCTCCAGTTAGGTCTGTCGGTGAGTAAACTAATACAGCACCAGTTAGGTCTGTCGGTGAGTAAACTGTCACAGCACCAGTTAGGTCTGTCGGTGAGTAAACTAACACAGCACCAGTTAGGTCTGTCGGTGAGTAAACTGGCACAGCACCAGTTAGGTCTGTCGGTGAGTAAACTGTCACAGCTCCAGATAGGTCTGTCGGTGAGTGAACTGACACAACTCCAGTTAGGTCTGTCGCTGAGTGAACTGTCACAGCTCCAGTTATGTCTGTCGGTGAGTAAACAAACTATCATATACGAGTCAGGTGAAACGGTTCCGGTTTGGATATTCAGGTATGTGTATATCTTTTTACGTTTGTCAGTGAATATTGATATTAGTGAGATTGTTATAACATAGTCAGCGAATAGCAAGAGTTACAATAGCGGAAAAGAGCATTATACTTCATATGTACTTTGTCCATTACAAGTTGTTTGGCTTTAATGAACAATACTTCTAGCAGTTTGTATAATCTTTAAAAATGCTTCGTTAGCTAAGTTTGTAAAAATCACTCTAGTAACATTGTAGGATTCTATTTTGAAAAAATATACGAAAACAACCTTATACTTTGAATCAAACATCGAAAAGTGTGACGAAACATTGCTGAAATATTTAAATTAGTCATTTAAACAGTGGAAATTTCAATAAAATATTGCTTGATTTTAGATTTGATAGCAGTCTATTCTAAATAATAGATGCCTTATCACTTTCAGAACAACGACATTCCTCTGAGCAGTAGATCTCTGGATATTTTGATGAAGCGCCTGGACACAAACAACGATGGACATATCACATTTGAGTAAGTTTATCGTCTAATGTTTAAACCGTTCCTACATAGAAATAGAACATATTGTCTCCATATAATAATAGTTTGGTTAGTAGTAGCCAGTCAGGTGGACATATCATAAGTTTTATATCTAGTCAATACTACATGAAAAAGACAAAGAAGTGCCAAAGTAAAGAGACAAAGACAAAAATGACATATGAGAAACTACTCCCGATCTACAGGATATCCCTGAGCTAGCAAGCTTCAAATGTATACCATATAGAGAGGCATCAGAGTTAGGAGTCAAAAATGGGGGGCGGGGGGGGACTTAAAAGATTAATAGTACAAACACACTAAGAAGATGGGTTATAAAACAATGGAAATATGTGTCATTAACATTATCAACAAACAGACACGGGGCGATCTGTATACCTAATATAACAGTTGTCCACAATGCACGTATCTAGAAAAGCAAAGACATCACTCATGACCTCCAGACCTATGGCATGCTGAAAACTGGTGGGTTTAAAATAGCATTATTACAAATGTGTTTATTCAGTTGACATGATGATAGTATACGAGTATTATAACTGATATTTTCTCACCAGGGAACTTGCTGCAAAACACAAGGATTACGTAAGGCGAGCGACAAGACTACGTGTGCAAGCTGATGAAAGTCTTAGTCACTACAAAAGTTTTGATAAATTGGAGCAGATACGAGAGGCCGTCAAACTCAAGATAGCTCTTAGTGTCACCATAAGGCCAAACGCTACCAACAAGTGACCGTACTGTGATGGAACAGTAACCTTCACAAACATCATATCTGTAACACCCGATTGAAATAGTGTTGTTAACACGACATTTTAAGAATAATGGACCTTTTTTTTATTTTCGTGTTATGTACATAGATTTCTAAGCATATTTTGAGAACAGAAACTGTCAAATAAACAATTTTCGCTATGTTCGCCAGAATATTTGAAATTGAAAGTTGTATTTAAATGCACTTCTTTATTTAACAAAAACGTTAACTGCGCAGTATATGTAACATGAATATTTAAATAAAGCGTGACATTATTTGTATATATCACCATGCTTTGTTATCACATATTTTCTGCCTACGTGTCTGATCAGTTATACTTCGCCCTTTGTACAGTACAGGTATGTAGAATTCTTCAGAATAATCAATCTTAAACAATTTTCAACAAGAATGTCTTATGAAAGTTAATTCTTCATCTAAAAGAATTTTATACCAACATCTGGTTGAAAGTATTTAACTCCAGTTATACCTACATAAGCCAGTTAATTTTAAGTTTCAGAAACTTCTCTCTAATGTCCGTTTATCTGTACCTGATTTAGCAATACAAGGACGTACCAAAGGAAGAAAGAAAATGAACGTTATATAATGAGAACGATATAAAAGACGAATGTAATTTTATCATATAATATAAGTGTTACGCAGATATTCGTACCAAATTTAATTAAGCCATATCATTTTAATGAGTCTAGTATGCTGAGATTCATTCAGTTACTGAAAGTCGAAATTATAAAAGAACTTAATAATTTAGGAAAGTTTTTAACATCAGCAAATAAACATGAAAGATTTATTGTACCAATTTAATTAGTATTTTCGTGGTTTCCTCCAGAAGTATAATACCAATATTATGAATAAGGACAGAGGATATGATGGTAAGAGTGTGAGTGTCTTTGTTCTTTTGACTGTTATTTATCCAATAAGTTGTATAACTTACGGAAATTAATTTAATAGAATTATCTCCTCTTCGTTATGAGTGATTTGTTACTTAAAAGAAAGTTATTCTATGGTATTGGATAATATATTATCCACTTTGGAGACTGTATATTAAATTTGTTGTTACACATTCATTACAATTTGGGTTTTTTTGTTTTGTTTTTATATTTCATGCCTAACGCCTCATCATCAGACGTTACATAACTTCAAATGTCACACCATCCTTTAGCTCTCAAATAAAATATCTTACGAGTTATTGATTCTGATTCAGATACATGTACTCTAGAGAAAAAACACCCGTTTTAACAGGATATCATCTGGCTGAGGAAAAGATCATATTAAGTATTGTGGACGATTCGTCACGTACATGTTAACATGTTCATATCATCCTTGTATTCAAACCTTATCAAATTGTGTTTATTTGTTTTGTTTTTCTGTTCCAATTATATTCGATGTATCTTTGGAAGGTTACACTGTAATGTGAATTAATGACCGTGTTTTGAATTTAAGAAGACTAAAAGTCCAGCAGCAGTGTCTATGCTATCACAAGGAGTGTAGAAAAGACACGAGTGAATAACACCTTTAAGACAAATTACGAATCAGATAGAGGAAATTAATAACGACTTGAATTGCAACATTTCATCTATTTCATACTTCTAGAAATGTTCAGTAATGCTACGGGCCTAAATTTTGAAATCTGGAGGTGACTGAGGGAAACCAAAATTGATCGGGAAAATATCAAAATGTAGATTTGGAGGTGCCCAAGCCCAATATTTTATATTCGTTGAAAGATTTTCCTATGTCTGCAAAAGGAGGTCAAGCACGTGTATATTGTAAACGTGTTCTGTGAATTAAATCATGGTATGTTGATACAAATAGATGTATCCACTTTTAAAAATCAAAGAAATAGTCAGAAATACTTTCTATAACATTTATTCATTCACTCTTACAATACCAAATCACTCTCACTTCACTGCACCTGTACTGTTAAATATTTAACAGCATTCTGCTCAACTCATCATTTAAACCCGATAATCGTTTTGATACAGTTATTATCAATAAGATTTACACACAGCTAACATACCAAAACATTATTACTCACTACTGATCTATGAAATTAAAAATTCTTCATGATATATAATTACAAAATATCACCCCAGAATTACACTGTGGCAAAAGTCTAGTAGATACGACATGTTACATTAAAAAAAGGGAAAGCACTGTTATGGTATCTGTCTGTCAAACTCAGATGTATCTTCATTTGCATGGCAACCCTTAAGCATAACATAATAAAATGGATATGAAATTAGAATGGTCAAAATTATCTGAATTTCATTTTATGTGAAAACCAGCAGTTCATCAAAACCTGTGTCAAATCTTTATTACAACATGAAGCATTCACATGTCCATATTTATAAACCATCTTGAAAATTATATTTGATTATGAAATTTAAACACTGTTTATAATTAAGGTATGTTTTACACAATGAACAAAGATCTAATGTAGCATCTTTAGTTGCAGTAATCACATAGGAATTGCAATTAAATCTGCAATTAATTAATTTTCTAAACCCAAATCTCCCCTATCCCTACCCTGACTCTGAAATAAAAATCAAAGATACATGCTACACAGACAATCCTGCTGTCAAAATAATTCCACCAACCATATCAAAATTTGAATACCTCACTATACCAGATACAACCACAACATACAACTACCAAAAAACTCACACACTCCCATTCCCACTAATCACACACCATTACCAAAACAATAACATACTATCAGTGCAAATCTCATCCAAACATTCAGCACCATTCATTGCTTATTAAAGTTCAACAAACATCTGATATTTCCTAGATACAGGTATAAAATATGCATCTGATACTGTAGATACCTTTCAAAAGTTGCAATCGTATTTAATGTTCATTGCCATAAAACACTCAACAATCACACATTATGAACAAAGAAGCGCTTGTGGGGGGGAAGGCAATTATTTCATAAGATGAATAGATTATACTTTGATGTGAAAAAAAGCAATGAACTTCACATTAATTACATAATAATATTACAAATTATTTACTTAACAAGAAACAATGTGTACATGTACACAAAATTTACATAACAGCAGCAACAATAAGTAAACCACCTCTTGGTACATTTCTGTCTTTTTTCATTTTTGTTTGGTCAAATAAGTGTTGTAGATGTGAAAACAAGGAAGAGAAGCTAGCTTGACATAATAAGAGGATATAGGTACATATGTCCCTGTCTACATTAATTTGTAAGTACTAAATAAGTATTAATTTGCTATTAAAATGGAAAACTATTATACAATGTACACCAAATGCATTATTCTTCAGGAGAACTAGGCGAGACAGGAGCTGTTTTTGAGGATTACAACATCAAACAGCAATCAGTAACCTAAATTCAAATAAAATGATGATCTAAATCACCAATGAAAAATTATGCAGATTTTCAAATATCAAAATAGATCTTAAAAATGGATGAATCGTACATTTGTCGCTACAGAGCATTACTTCAAACATTCATCTATTACACCTAAAATGTCTATATCATGATCTGATTGATCTGTAAATCAATGCACTAAGATGACAATTTACTCGGATGCCAGATGATAACTCTGGAAAGATTGATTTAGCTCAGACACGAGAGGAGATACAACCTTCTATAACAAATTGAATGTATGCGGAGAGGTGAAATACAGTTACTAATAGATCAATGACCCACTCACACATATCTCTCTCATGTAAAGTCACTAGAACTAAACATGGATGGAGTCTATAACAATTAATATACAGTATGGCAACTCCTTAACAGAATTGGAGCAAAACTTTGTATTCCTCTGTGTTATACCCCAAATCTTAACAATAAGTTAAAACAAATTTGCTGAGTACAGATTGCATGTTACACACTTACACTGACAATGTTATAGTACATACTCCCAGTAATTCTGATCTGTTACTGAAACAGGTGGTCAAATTATTGTAAGCACAATCATGTTAACTGTATAGAATAAGGAAGAAAATCAACACCTCAATATGAAACATGATACAATGAGTCAAATATCTATTCTACTGAATCAATATTCCCTTGAAATACATTTTTTTCAAAATAAAGAAAAGGGACTGATGTAAAATAAATTCATCGTAACACTAGTGATGTCAGTATATCACTTCCAGTACTCTTGTACAACATTTAGCAGTTGTCAACTGTGAGAACTTGTTTACATTTATGCATAATTTGGACAATATTTCTAAACATTATCAACACGATGGTCTACATATCCTTCAATATGTTTATATGCTTGTCCTCAGATTCTCTTCTACTGCTGAAAATGATACTAAGCTCTTAGTCTTTTTGTTTTGATGAGGAAAAACAGTTCTGTTAAATAAAAGAAATAGGAATGCCAAAAAACTGTGTTTTTTCTGATGTCTTACATCTATAAAATTGCCCTGAAAATCCCCGCTGGAAGCAAATCCTACAAGTGTATTGATACTTTTACCTGGTATATTGCTGCCATTTCCATCAGAACCCAATCAAGGCCTTGATTACTTATTAAATGATAGACTGTTATGAATTACGTAAATTTTTTTCATACAAGATCAAAGCAATCATTATCGAGATATCAACATTATATGATGATGTCTGTTCATCACATTATTACTGTTATATGCCACACCTGAAAACCCTTACCATAGAATATATCATACTTTTTTAAATGTTCGGTTTCAACCATCCCCAACTATAAAGCACATTTATTGTTATAGAAGTTATAACAGAAGTCCTGTGTACTAAAGCCTGTTTGTGCTGTACTCATTGGGAAATTTAAACTTGTGAGATCCTTCTCCTCTGATTTTTGGCAAGGTTCCAGCATTAGGAATGACATTCCATGACAAAGTCAGAGTCACGTTGTTGTTTCCTCTACAAATACAGAAAATGGAAAGTCCAGAGGATATGACACACAAATATGGCAAGAAAATTCTCACAATTATCAATACGACAAACACTATAGCAGAAATAGCAATTAAATGACCGCTGTCTAGCATATTGAATAATAGTGCATCTTCATGTACATTTAGATTACAGTGTATCTCACTGTACTCTTAGGTTCCTTACCCAACATGAACAAAACAAAAAGCATTATGTCATTATAACCTTATACTCCTATCCGGTTTTCGTTGTTGTTCATTTATGAAATAAGGATGAACTTACAGATCTGATTTTGATTTCTATCAAGCTTCAACTAAGCCTTACAAGGCCTGTATTAATATTTGAAGATCTGTTCTGATTTATGCAGGAAATTTTACATATAGAATAGTGATGAATCAATTTGTTTGCATACATGAAGAGCAAAAAAAAAAGAAATATGGTAGCGTTCTCTCAAATGTGTCATATTTAGGTACTTCATTAAACTTATCAACCAATGTAATGTTCAGAAATAAAGGCAAATGTGTAATTATAAAACTTCACTTTAGAAGAAAGTTATTTTTTTCTACCCAAATGGAAATATAACTATGTTTAACACAAAAAGATTCTTACTTCAGGCCATTGCCATAATCCCAGAAATAATATTTGGTATTGCTGCTGCGGTAGTCAAGAACAGAGTTCTCTCCCCTCTTAATGATTTTGTCCCAGATCACCACCTGGTTTAAAACCTATAAAGAACAGAATAAAGTACAATGTAATTTCAAGATATACCATAAACATGTAATGTCATGCTTTCTGCCTATTCTTTACTGCAAAATATGTTTTACATGTAAAAAATACATTGGTGTCTGCAATCAAGCACAATTCCATTTCTATTCAAACAAATTGACTGCCCTGCCCTTAGTAAAGCATGCCACAAACCAAATATTGGGTATCGTGGATATTGTTAATAATCTAGAATGTAGAAATGATTAAATGTAAGATCAAATAATTTCCATAGCATGGCCTTGTCCTTCACGCAAAGTTAGTGATGAGTTTATAAAATTACACCATAAATATCACTGTCAGATGATCAAACAATCAGGAAATGCTAACACTAGCTATAGGGACCTGAATGCATCCAGCCCTTCTAGTCCCAGATTTTATTATCATACTTACATGATCTTTTGTCTCATATTCTGCTGTCAGATACAGGAACAATTGCTTCACATTCCAGTTAAATATCCTTGATAAATGTGTGTGTGTTAAAGAAAACTCTTCTCAGAAAAGAAATCACACTGACATTAAGAACTGTAAGTATCCATTTTAAAATGCAACCTTGCTATCAGGATTCAACAAAAGCAGAAAACGCTATCTCTTGTACCATGTTTACTATAAAATTAAGCATTTTTGGAGGATGTATCTTCTTAATCTACAAATTCATATGCCCACATATTGTTAAAATAATCATATATAGATTTATTGAGTTATAAATACTTATGAAATCAAGTGTCTACGAAATAGTATTTTTTTTTAAATATCGAAAATTGAGCCCAATATACCTAAGATTAAAAATGCTTTTAAAGGATATCTGCTTGCATATCAAAGACAACAAATCCAAGGTCATTCTTTTCTCTTGTGGCGCTGTAGTCGGGAACATTTTTTCTGCAAAAGACAAAAGAACTCAACAATTGTGTTCTTCTGCATGTTCAAAATATGAATGGATCCTAGGGAGACATTGAATTAAATAACCTCTGTTACATTGGTACTCATGTATGCACTCAGGAATAATACTTCCATATGCACCACAAAGTAACCCCTGAAAACTCGTTATTTCTTATTTATTTCTTGGAAAGGAGTATCTAACCCTTGTGAATATTTGCAGCAATATACCACTTGCCTAGAGAGACCACTTCAGTTTGGTCATTTGGGTATAAGACCAGGAAGTCCCAGGTTTGAGTCCTAGCAGAAACATTGAAATAAATGGTAATCTCTGTTACATTTAGTCATCAAAATTTAAAACATGTACAGTTATATGTATTCATGCACATGACTTAAGGATACAGTAGTAAATGCTAACATCTGTCGGTCATCGGCACCACTAAATCATTTTAGGAACAGAGTTAGTCTAGACGAAAACAGACCGCAAATATCAAACATGATCACAGGCTCGAATATACTATCAGAAATTAAACATACGGTACATGCCTGACCACATACTAGGAAGACACAAATATAACATATCTAAGTTGCATGTGAAGAAAAGAAAAGGCCACTGGTATGAAGAAACGTCCAGATGGTGGCCTAACAGCTCATGAAAGCCGGTTATGTATCAATTGCTTACACTATGGTTTTCCCAGTTCCAATGTATACCAGGGCTTTGTGTTCATTGAAAGCCGTCGTAAGGAAACAACAGAAAGTCAATCCCGCCATCACACTAAGTGTGAAGGCGAAAATTGTATTCAATCTGGACAGAAATGTGTTCATCTTTCCTGTGGCTTGTTGGCCGGAAGTGTTCGTCAGCTAAAATGGTCAAGTATAATTGAAAGAGTTGGACGAAATTCCGTAAAAATAATATTTGTTGTTTGATCATTTAAAATGTTTTCGAACATATGTAGATATTATAGTGTCTCTGCTATTCACGTATTATTTATATAAATATAGTTATTTATATTTTGTTTGATTATATAACAGTTGTTGTATTTTTTATGTCAGTCCGGAATTGCCATTTTAATTTTAGTTTGATTGATAGTCACATGATTGAATCATGGCGGCTAAGTTAAACCAGTTCATTTTATTTCAGTCATTGATTTGTGTGTTATCTATATTATGTGTTGAATCACTGCGAAAAGGTTTTCCTCATCGGAAGTCTCACCAACTTAGGGAAAGTGGTTATGCTTACAAAACAGCGTACTTCGAACAAAAGGTAACTAACACTTTCAGTTTAAAATTGTACCACGGGCACGCTCTTCGACAGTTCTTTTCCGTTTTTATATTATGTTCGTTATTAATTGGTTGATATTTCCATAATTGGCCAAACAACATATCTGTGTTTTTGTTATTGACAAACTTATAGAACGTTATAGAGGTAGACAATTGTGTGGGTGTTGTTTTTGCATGAGTTATCTCCCATCGACTGTGTTTATGGAACACTACGACCTGTTTTACGTGCATACAATACATGTTATTATCATTACTACTATAGTTAGAAGCTAATTATAATTGGTAATAAGTGTATGTATACACATGTACCATTTTGGCCAATGAATTATTTGCAAAATATCAATACTTTTTTTAAATAAGCAAGATTGAAAAGTGTTCACAATCTTCATGATATCTCTCTTACCACCGTTTTCAAGGCCTATATGGATCATATATATTCAACTACCAAGAAACAGCGATAATTGAACTTGAGTACATTTATTTGATACAAATGAAACATTTATTTAACATTTACTAAGGGAAGGTAACTCAAGAGAGCTTGAAGCTTGGATTTGAATTTAAACAACACACATTTCAGTAAGTAAACCTTGGAAAATGTACCTGTGTGATCAGATCATCTGTAAAGAGCCTGTTAATGATCAGGACAAGACCCAGATTCAATTCCTGATTTGGCCGCTTGACTGGAATGTGTATTTTCCTTGTTCTTTTACACATGTACGGTACATCTAATTTTAGTCCAGATGTACTCAGATAAGTTTCTGCATGCCGCTACAGTCATTAACATAAAAAAAATAGTATCATTATATAAGTACTTCAATCTTTTATATTTCTAGGTCGACCACTTTGGATTTGCCAATGATGACACATATAAACAGAGATATCTAGTGGCTGACCAATTTTGGGACAAAAATGGTGGACCTATATTTTTTTACACTGGTAATGAAGGAGACATTACATGGTTCTGTAACAATACTGTGAGTATCTGTGTGGACCTATCCTGCATCCTTTGGCAAAAAATATCTTAGTGGATATATATTATGAAATCAGTTTATAAATATATATCCATGAAAAATTTCTATAAATAATTCCAATATCCATAATTTGAAATAGGGACATTCCACAATTATATCCTCAATTCATTTGTCAGTTTATTGATATTAACAGATGATTTGCGGATAATCAAAAATGATTAATGGATAACCATCAATGGCAACATTTTATCACATTTTTCTTAGTTTTGGCTGGATATATTCAATATTTGCTTGTGTGAAAGCTTGTTGGTTCTTGGCATCAATACATTATATCAGTCAACTTCATTCTGAGTGAAATAAAAGTTAAATACCTATCATATTTCATAATTCAGAAACTCAACATCTAGTGATTTCTTTTTATAGCATGTTCTGGAAAGCTATATGAAAATGAAAATATTTGCCTATTTTTTCAAAGAAATAGTTGACATGTACATGTACTTGAAATATGATGTTATATGGCCCCAATATGCAAGTATATGCATGAACTGGTTGCTGTACAATGTGGATATACGTAGCTAAACTATTCTAGATCCAGAAAAATTTCATTTGAAACATATTGTCACATTTCATTTGAAATTTGTATTTTTGATGATTTTTTATAAAAAAAAGTCTAAATTTGTGGGTTTAATTGTATGGGGGCAAAAATGCAGATCCCCACATTTGGGCCTGTAGGGCTGGCTGAAATGGGGGAGTTTGATTGCATTTCAGATACTTCTTCTCCAGACTGAAGAACTGTAGAATTAAGAAAATTTCGATAGATTGAAAAGTTCCAAGGTGCTTTGTCAGAATTATAAATTTTATATCCGAAAGTCCTCCATTTCACTCTAGGGAGAGAGTAATTTTGCTAAATCATTTATACTGATGACTTGAGAAAATGACCATTTTGTTTTGGATATTTTAATTCTCTTTAGTGAGAAATAATTCAATTGTGACTGGAGTTGCAACCACCAGATCTCAGTTTGATAGTATATGATTCAGAACCCACCCCTAGGGTTTGAAGGATGGAACACAAAAGTGGAGATTTGCTTATATTTCAAAATCTTCCAGACCCAGATACTGTAGATTGATAAACTTTCTATGGATGGAAATGTCCCAGATTTATTGTTAAAAATCATTTTGTCAACAATTTTGCTATATATTAGACTTAATAAGTAAAATGCCTTTATAGATATATCACATTTAATGGGCATATTAACAAAAATGGCAAATATGATAATGTTTGAAATGATATTCAAAACATAGTAAGCTTACATAACACTTTTCTTTTATGTTCTTATTCAGGGATTTATGTGGGAACTGGCCCCTAAGTTGAAAGCCCTGCTGATTTTTGCTGAGCATCGATACTATGGTGCTTCTTTGCCTTATGGTGCTGATGCTGCTAAGGTAATTGAGTAACATGCTTCAACCAAATGGAATTATATAATACTGCTAATTTTAACACATATTATAAAACCATTAATGTGTTTTTTGATAGAATGAATGTAAGGAAATGATGCATGTTCTACAAAACAAAAATTTTAAATATGTAAAAATTCCAAAGTGAGATTAGTTTGATGTGGGCAGATACAAGTTCCAACTTGTCAGTAGAAACATGAAAAAAAAACAATACAATGTAAAATTTGAAAGTTATCTCTCACTATTTCTTCATCACAGGATCCTAACAAACTACAGTATCTGACATCTGAGCAGGCACTGGCTGACTTTGCTATACTGATCCAAGAGTTGAAGGCCAATGAACCAGGAGCTCAGAACAGCAGAGTGATTGCCTTTGGGGGATCATATGGGGGAATGCTGGCTGCTTGGCTGAGGATCAAATACCCTAATGTTGTGGATGGGTAGGGTACAATGTCAGATTCTAGATCAAATACCCTAATGTTGTGGATGGGTAGGGTATAAAGTCAGATTCTAGATCACATACCCTAATGTTGTGGATGGGTAGGGTACAATGTCAGATTCTGGATCAAATACCCTAATGTTTTAGATGGGTAGGGTACAATGTCAGACTCTAGATCAAATACTCTAATGTTGTGGATGGGTAAGGTTAGACATCAAATTCTAGATCAGATACCCTTATGTTGTGGATGGGTAAGGTTAGACATCAAATTCTAGATCAGATACCCAAATGTTGTGGATGGGTAAGACCCAGATACCCAAATGTTGTGGATGGGTAGGGTACAATGTCAGATTTTAGTTATTTAACCTAGATCAGATACCCTACCTGTGTAGACAAATTTTTTATGGATGGTTGACACTAATGTCATAGAATATAAATAGTTTCAAACCTTAATTGAACATTTTATATGCATTTTTAGTTTTAGATAGCCCACCATATTCAGATGATGTACAAATAATCAGATAATGTTGTGGATGGGTAAGGTTAAACATCAAATTCTAGATCAGATACCCAAATGTTGAAATTCTAGATCAGATACCCTTATGTTGTGAATGGGTAAGGTTAGAAATCATGAAATTCTAGATCAGATACCCAAATGTTGTGGATGGGTAAGGTAAAACATGAAATTCTAGATCAGATACCCTAATGTTGTGGATGGGTAAGGTAAAACATGAAATTCTAGATCAGATACCCAAATGTTGTGGATGGGTAAGGTAAAACATCAAATTCTAGATCAGATACCCTTATGTTGTGGATGGGTAAGGTAGAAAACATGAAATTCTAGACAGATCAAATGGGTTAAAACATCAAATTCTAGATCAGATACCCTTATGTTGTGGATGGGTAAGGTTAGACATCAAATTCTAGATCAGATACCCTTATGTTGTGGATGGGTAAGGTAAAACATGAAATTCTAGATCAGATACCCTTATGTTGTGGATGGGTAAGGTAAAACATGAAATTCTAGATCAGATACCCTTATGTTGTGGATGGGTAAGGTAAAACATCAAATTCTAGATCAGATACCATTATGTTGTGGATGGGTAAGGTAAAACATGAAATTCTAGATCAGATACCCTTATGTTGTGGATGGGTAAGGTAAAACATGAAATTCTAATGTTGTGGATGGGTAAGGTAAAACATGAAATTCTAGATCAGATACCCTAATGTTGTGGATCATGGGTAAGGTAAAACATCAAATTCTAGATCAGATACCCTTATGTTGTGGATGGGTAAGGTAAAACATGAAATTCTAGATCAGATACCCTAATGTTGTGGATGGGTAAGGTAAAACATCAAATAGTTAGATAACCTTATGTTGTACCTGTGTAGACTAGATCAGATACCCTAATGTGGATGGGTAATGTTTCAAACCTTAAGGTAAACATGAAATTTATATTTGCATTTTTAGTTAGTTTTTTTAGCCCACCATATTCAGATGATGGACTTATCAATCAGATACCCAAATGTTGTGGATGGGTAAGGTAAAACATGAAATTCTAGATCAGATACCCTAATGTTGTGGATGGGTAAGGTAAAACATGAAATTCTAGATCAGATACCCTAATGTTGTGGATGGGTAAGGTAAAACATGAAATTCTAGATCAGATACCCTTATGTTGTGGATGGGTAAGGTAAAACATGAAATTCTAGATCAGATACCCTTATGTTGTGGATGGGTAAGGTTAGACATCAAATTCTAGATCAGATACCCTTATGTTGTGGATGGGTAAGGTAAAACATGAAATTCTAGATCAGATACCCAAATGTTGTGGATGGGTAAGGTAAAACATCAAATTCTAGATCAGATACCCTTATGTTGTGGATGGGTAAGGTTAGACATCAAATTCTAGATCAGATACCCTTATGTTGTGGATGGGTAAGGTTAGACATCAAATTCTAGATCAGATACCCTTATGTTGTGGATGGGTAAGGTAAAACATGAAATTCTAGATCAGATACCCTAATGTTGTGGATGGGTAAGGTAAAACATGAAATTCTAGATCAGATACCCTAATGTTGTGGATGGGTAAGGTAAAACATGAAATTCTAGATCAGATACCCTAATGTTGTGGATGGGTAAGGTAAAACATGAAATTCTAGATCAGATACCCTTATGTTGTGGATGGGTAAGGTAAAACATGAAATTCTAGATCAGATACCCTAATGTTGTGGATGGTTTGGGTACAATGTCAGATTTTAGTTATTTAACCTTCTACCTGTGTAGACATTTTTTATCAATGTTGACACTAATGTCATAGAATATAGAATAGTTTCAAACCTTAATTGAACATTTTATATTTGCATTTTTAGTTAGTTTTTTTAGCCCACCATATTCAGATGATGGACTTATCAATCGCCCTTCATCCATCGTCTGTTGTACCTCCATCCTTAAACAATTCTTGTTATCACTACCAGGTATTTCTTGATCATTCTCAAGTTTCATATGTAGCTTTACTTTTTTCCCTAGTTCTGCATAGCCCATTTTGGGGATGATCAGAGAAACAAGTCATAGTTTATCATGGCTGTTTCTGGAGAAACATTGGATAGATCATTCTCAAACTTGATATGTAGCCCAGGTTCACCGTAGTTTCGAGCTGTGCACAGTGAATTTGATGAAATGATCAGAAAAACAAGTTGGCATCTTGGTTTTTCGACAATTATAGTTTGTAATCACTATTGCTGGAGAAGTGTTGGATGGATCATTCTCAAATTTCATATGTAGGTTTGTTTTGGTTCCATTATCCAAATAGACAAACATTTTGGTTTCTCATACTCATAGTTTGTTATGACTAATTCTGGATAAGTACTGGATGGATTATTCTTAAACTGTTGCTTCATATGCAATTTTAGTTTAGTTCTTAGTTTTGCATAAATTATTTTAGGACTGAGCAGAAAACAGGATGGCAAATAGGTGGTGATCTTGTGCTTTGAAAGCTATTGTTTGTTACTGCTGTTTCTGCAGAATAGTTCGGTAGATTATTCTCTCATTTCATATGTAGGTTTGCTATAATCTGTAGTTATACCCTTTTTTATTTTTTGACTGATCAGAGAAGCAAAATGGGAGACAGGTAACATTCTTTGAATTTGACAATGAAAGTTTGATATTTCTATTTCTTGAGGAGTACTGAATGGAGCTTTTTTAACTTTGATATGTTGGTTTCACTTGGTACGATATTGTGCCCTTTTGATTTTGGAATTGATCTGAGAAACAAAAAGCCAACAGATAAACATCTTGGATTTTGCAGTTAAAGGTTATTACCACTGTTTCTTCATATAATGATGAGCAGAAACGGAGGAAAGAAGAGGAAAGAAAGTTAAAGAACAAAATAAAGATAAAATATTGGTGGGCATAAATTCAAGATCCCTCTAGGATCTCTTGTTCTCAAGGAAGGTGTATTCTATGTCTATATTTTTATGTCTGAAACAATTTGCATCTTTGTTGATCTGCTGGAAAGTTGTATTTGATTCTTTTTTATTAAGTATGTGAGTCTTGTCTAACTAGAAAAGGAATAATCTTAAAAAGACCATTTATATATGAAAAATTTTCAAAAAATAAAATTAAAATTAGTAACTTTTCCTGTCATTTGGTAGCTGGAGATTTGTGATTTTTTCCAGGTCCCTCGCTGCCTCTGCCCCTATTTGGAGCTTCATAGGTCAGATCCCTTGTGAGGCTCAGTTGCAAGTTGTCACCAACTCTTTCAAGAGGGAGTCTTCAACCTGTGTCAAAAACATCAGGAAGTCATGGGGTGTCATCAACACATTAGGTGCTACAGGTACATAATGTCACAGATTGTAAGGACAAGCTAATTCACCATACAACACAATGGAGGCTACATGTACACAGCATCACAGATTGTAAAGACAGGCTAATTCACCATACAACACCATGGAGGCTACTTGTACACAGCATCACAGATTATAAAGACGAGCTAATTCACCATACAACGCCATTGGGGCTACTTGTACACAGCATCACAGATTGTAAAGACAGGCTAATTCACCATACAACACCATGGAGGCTACTTGTACACAGCATCACAGATTATAAAGACAAGCTAATTCACCATACAACACCATTGGGGCTACTTGTACACAGCATCACAGATTGTAAGGACAAGCTAATTCACCATACAACACAATGGCAGCTACAGACAAGCTAATTCACCATACAACACATTGGGGGTTACAGACAAGCTAATTCACCATACAACACATTGGCAGCTACAGACAAGCTAATTCATCATACATCACATCGGGGGCTACAGACAAGCAAATTCATCATACATCACATCGGGGGCTACAGACAAGCAAATTCATCATACATCACATCAGGGGCTACAGACAAGCTAATTCACCATATATCACATTGGCAGCTACAAACAAACAAATTCATCATACATCACATTGGCAGCTACAGACAAGTTAATTCATCATACATCACATTGGCAGCTACAGACAAGTTAATTCATCATACATCCTGACTATATTTAGTATGTTTATGTATTATAGAATGGTCAATATTGGCTATTACATTACACCAGCAGTAGTTTGGAACTTTATTTCCTGTGTTGATTTATGCTTTGCCAGATCTAATTTGGTTACATATTTCATGAGCTTGAAGTTTATAAAAGAGAAGCATAGTTTCAAAATGGAACACTTCAGTTTGGTAGGTTTACTAGAATGCATAGACAATGTTTTATAAGAGTCCATATCAAAGGAAGCTCTGTTTTGTCATACTTTTCTGTACCAAATAAGCTGTGTATTGGCTGAAGCCAAATAAACGAAAGATTCTCTCAAAGTTTTTTCATCTTTTGTATTCTTTTATCTTTACCAAAACCTAGCTTGTGTGACATTACCATTAATTCTCCATATGTTGCCCCAAAAGTTTAACAACCATTATTTTATTTCAGACTTGGGGAGGGCACGCCTTTCCACCACATTTGATTTGTGTGCACTGTTGAACACGAGTGCAGATGCAGGTGCCCTGAAGTCATGGCTGTTAGAGGTCATGTTTAACCTGGCTATGGTAGATTATCCCTATCCAGCCTCTTTCCTTGAACCTCTGCCTGGCTGGCCTATCAAGGTGAGGTCTTTTTCTGTATAGTACCAAATCCTAAGCAAGGTATATGTAGTTAACACTTTATCTAATTATTAAGGTCCATTTATTGCTTTAGCTCTCTGGGAGGTCAGATAGTGACTTTGACTACAGACACTTTCTTAAAATGATGAGTAGAGGAACAGGAAACTTTGTACTGAAAATATGTTGTAAATCCATTGGAAGGTTATTGTGAACATCCATGTTTTCGTGACTTGGATCTATATGTTTGAAAACTGTTTTATCATCTGTTCTTTCTTCAAAATAATATTCAATTGACCAAAGATAGAAACAAACCAGTTGGTAGAGAAACTCTTATATAAAATAGATGTCATTTTGTATACCAAAATAAGGAAACTGTTACCCATTTCTGGACCAGGACAATGAGAATAAATTCAGGTGATCTACAGGTTTGAGAATGGGGTCACCACAAACTGTATGTAGCTTATGAGATCATGGTTATAGCTAATATGTTTATTTTTTATTTTTTACATACAGGCTGTGTGTGGCCCTTTGTCTAATGAAGTTGTGGATGATGTAGCCTTAATTGAGGCTCTATCTAAGGCAGTCAAAGTATACTACAACTACACTGGTCAGGCCAAGTGTTTAGATGTCAATCAGAATGCAGTGGGAAGTCTTGGAGATGAACTATGGGGATATCAGGTAAGCAGTTTTATAGTGACCCTCTTTATTCTGGAATAGAGAAACTTGTTCAAACAATGGGGATATCAGGTTAGTAGTTTTATAACGACGTCTTAGTCTGGAATAGAGAAACTTGTTCAAAGTATGGGGATATCAGGTTAGTAGTTCTATAGCGACATCTTTAGTCTTGAATAGAGAAACTTGTTCAAACTCTGGTGCTCTCAGGTTAGTAGTTTTATAGTGACGTCTTAGTCTGGAATAGAGAAACTTGTTCAAAGTATGGGGATATCAGGTAAGCAGTTTTATAGTGACCCTCTTTATTCTGGAATAGAGAAACTTGTTCAAAGTATGGGGATATCAGGTAAGCAGTTCTATAGCGACATCTTTAGTCTGGAATAGAGAAACTTGTTCAAAGTATGGGGATATCAGGTTAGTAGTTCTATAGCGACATCTTTAGTCTGGAATAGAGAAACTTGTTCAAAGTATGGGGATATCAGGTAAGCAGTTCTATAGCGACATCTTTAGTCTGGAATAGAGAAACTTGTTCAAACTCTGGTGCTCTCAGGTTAGTAGTTTTATAGTGATGTCTTAGTCTGGAATAGAGAAACTTGTTCAAACAATGGGGATATCAGGTAAGCAGTTTTATAGTGACCCTCTTTATTCTGGATTGGAGAAACTCACCCAAATTCTGGAGCTATCAGATAAAAAGCAGTCTTATAGCGACGTCTTAGTCTGGAATGGAGAAACTCATCCAAAACCTTAATTAGTTATTTGGAAATTTTCGACTCATTTTGTACTGATGTATCAAATCATCATTTAAAAATCAATCATTGAGGTTAATTTGTCAAAGAAAAGTTAGGTTAAAAGTGTGTTCTCATTTGTTCTCATCTATAGATGTTAAATATTACTGACAAGGTATGTAGATAACTACAGGTTATCATTCTCTGTTTTTGTCACATACATACAGAATAGAATTTGTGATTACATGTACATAAGGGCTCTCACTGAAAACACCTGTTATCAATATATCAGGATACTTAAGACAGTTGACATTGATGCATTTAACAAATATCAATGTTTTGGAAATTGCATTTGTACATAACAGCGATAACTCACATGTTGCTTTTAATTACAATAGAAGGATGTAAAAGGCGTTACAGAATATTGTAACAATATATCAATATTTTAGCCAGTTGATGATATAATGCTGCTTTTTTCCCTTCAGTGACAGTGCTTAATTTTATCAGAGATCTGAGTATGCTTACACAATGTTTTATGGTACCAAATTTTTAAAGTGAACATTTGCAGTATCCTCCTGATCTAGCAAATAAAAGCCATAGATAGTTAATAACTGTTTACTTTAATCTCTGACCTAAATTTCCACAGGCTTGTACTGAAATGGTGATGCCATCCTGCTCCAATGGTGTGACAGACATGTTTGAACCTACCACCTACAACTTCAGTCAGGTTTCTGATGAGTGCTTTAAACAGTTCAAAATCCGGCCGCGGAAGTCTTGGGTCATAACAGAGCGGAAAGTCTTGCCAGCAATATCATCTTCAGGTAAACAGTTTAACAGAGTAGGGTTTCAAGTCTTGGGGGAAAAACATTAAAACTGCCAGCAATATCATCTTCAGGTAAACAGTTTGTGCAATCTTGACAGAATTTTCTACGATAGGGTTTCCTAGTTCCTTCAATATTGAGGGTTTTAAATACAAATTACGTAATCAAGAAAAGAACCCTTAATGAGCCCCTGGTTTTCATCTTGATTTCGCAATTACCATCTGTAGGACTCTATTAAACTCCCTTCCTGCACATATACTTGTACAAATCATATACTTCAAATCACAACATGTCCTGATATGTTCTGTGGTGATATGGATAACATCATGTCTGTAGTGAAGGGGCTATTCATTTTAAAGAAAGGGTCACTAAAAAAGATGACACCCATTACCTTTGGTATGTTTGAAATGACTTCATGGATATTTTGAAGAAGTATTTGATATTTTGAAGAATTATTTGTTCTTGTGGTAGTAAAAAACTTCATTACTTGTTGACAGTAACGGCCTTCTTGACCCGTGGTCTTCTGGTGGCGTGCTGAAGTCTATCTCACCCAGTCTTACAGCCATCATCATCCCTAATGGTGCTCACCATGTAGATCTTCGTACCTCAAACCCAAAGGATACACCAGACATCACCAAGGCTAGGCAGACAGAGGAATATATCATTAAAGGATGGGTCAAGGGAGACAACTCATGAGCTCCTCATGTTTCCTGGACAGAATTATTGTTTTAACAGTCACTACTATACAGTTTATACTTGGTAACTAAACAGTTTATACTTGGTAACTAGTTAACTAGACAGTTTATATTTGGTAACTAAACAGTTTATACTTGGTAACTAGACAGTTTATACTTGGTAAATTTTAACAGTTTCTACCAAAACAAATTATTTTTAATATAAGGCAAAATGATGAGAAAATATTACATACTGACAAAGTTTTTTTTTAACGGTTAAATTTTCACAAAAAGTTTTAAGTAAAAGATGTTTATAAACATTTTTTTATTTCAAAGGTTTCTGATTTTTCGCAGCTTTTTTCCATTCTCAGAAAAAGAAAAAAAATATGTGAGCTTCATTTATTTAATATAAAGGATCTGAACATTCCATAATGTAATTATTGTAAGTAACAAGGGGCAGGTGTGGGGGCAAAGGAGGCCTTTTTTGTTGTCTCCTTTATTACTGGTTTTTTTATCACTCAATCATGCCTTCGTGTCCCTTTCCAACATATATATGCTATCATATTTCTCGTATCTCAGATTTGCTTTCTTTTAATTGATGTCGTGTAAAATGTTCCAAAGATATTTTATACTCTATGTGTTAACTGATGGCCTCAGCAGATCTATACTCTCCGATTCCTTGAAATTGATCTGGTGTAAATATGAATGGTTAAGATATTTTTAATTATCTCAGGTGTAAATATGAATTGCCAAGATGTTTTACAGTATCACTTGTGTAAATATGAATGGTCGAGATAATTTCAGTTACATTGATTGTAAATGTAGACATCTGGCCCCAGTGACTCAAAAGTTTATTGAAGTTAACCAGTGAATAGTGAAAAGTTCAAATTGCTGAACTGAACAAACAAGAGTGTTAAGGATAAAATTAAAGTTATAAATATATCGTTATGGCTTGTCTTATCAAATCAACATATGTGAAATGATAAAGAATGTTTCCAATTTTTTTATTTCATGTTTGGAAGTTTTCACTTACCACTGGTTATCTCTAACCAGTCATTGAACAACTGGGGCCCTATCACTAAGGACAGCACACGAGAGAAAACCAGCACAACTGTGATATAGAATCGGATTTAATAGCTAGTCAAATGTAACAAACACACATGTCTGGAATTTTTATTTTTTATTTTATATTTATGCCTTAATTTTGTATGAAAAAAAGATGTTTAAATTGTCACCTAATTTATTTTACATAATGATACATCAGTTTTATCTTTTGGAAATAGTTTTGATATCAGTGTCATGCGATAGTGATAATATTGTTTGTAATATGTAACCATATATTATAATGATCTAGTTATTGTATTACATGTCGGTTTAACATATGGTTTTACATTACCTTTTAGTGTGTATAATAACACTGAATTATCTTACATGATAATCAAATACCATTATACTTGTGTATGTAGACTGTTTTGTGGGTGTGCAATCTGAATCACTGAATCACAGTTTTCAGTTGATGAAAATCAAATTCAGGCTTATAAGAACACATTCTTATCGTTTCCTTTATTATTTCGGATACATTTCCATGACTTTGGAATCTGGTTCACATGGCTTTAAGTCTTTTCTATTATTTTCCTTTTTACAGCTTAACCTTCAAGTTGTATATGTACACCTAGTATAGATTAAGATGCACTAAACATTAGTACACACAATACTATGTACAGATTAGTTCACTCAATCTAAAAAATAAATAAAATTTATTTATTTCACAATTTCTATTAATGACTTGTTGGTCCATATAGAAGGATGTGAAAGGTCGTACCCATGTGGTTGGGTAAGTCACCCCTAGCTTTTCACATCCATTCCAGGAATTAACGCCAGGACATCTAATTGGAAGAAGAATGTGTTACCACTACACCACCCACTCTATCTACATGATACGAAGTAGGGGAAGTAACTCCCTCAGTATGTCACAGTGGAGAGTTAAAAAGATTCCAATGGCTAAATTGTATGTATTCTATAACTTATTATGTAGGAGGACATAGTTCAGTGGCATTAATTAGTATGTGGACTGTGAAAATATTCTTATCTGAAATATTAATTTGTCTAGTAGTGTCACAGTGCTGCTTGGAGAGATTACTACACATGTACATGGATCTGCTTTGTGGATGAGATATCTCAACCTGAGTATAAGAGTTAGGCTGATCAAGGTTTCATATAGGATATATTCTATGGCATTAAGAAGAAATAAATCAATTGATAAAGCAAGATCTATTTAGAGATTCCTGGATTAACTAGTACAATGTTTAAATTCAGTGATGATATTATCTTGACATGGCCTCAGCTTCTATGCATTTGTATATATCTCTCATTCAACACAGTCTGACTGGTCGCAATGCTTTTATAACCAGGATTTTCAAGGATCCAAAAATGACTCAACATATTAATAATCATCAATAATTTATGGATATTTCAATGAAAACTTCAGCATCTGCTGACATCACTTAGCGTGTTTCTCTAACACACCAGAGGGATTTGAATATTGCCTTGTTTTGGTACCATGTAATGATGTTGTAATGAATAAAGAACAATGTATGTTTACATTTAAACCGTGACAAAATAGTTGTTTATGATGTGTACCAATCATTGCAGTGATTAGTATTGTATTACCAGTGTCCTAATGTGCCCGTTAATTCCCGCTACAAACTACCATTACATACAGTGAAAAAACAATATCAACATCATTCAACATCGGAACAGACAAGGGACTTGAAACATTGTCTTAAAATTCATTGTAATAACAAGGACAGGATTTTTTATTGTGAGATTTCTGGAACAATTCTTAAAATACCTCAATAATGAAGCTACAGTATAAAGGCTGCTTAAACAAAGTGGATATGTGATCGTAAAACAAAGATTAATAGGGATCAAAGCAGCAGTTTCTTAAAGTCATAAAACACGGAAATAATACCAGCTGATGAGAATACATACACACACTCAAAGGTCGTAAACATAGAAAACACTTCAAACTGTACCTGCAGTCAAACTCAGCAGTAACATGAAGACAAATCGTGCTGAAAAAACAGTTAAATTAGCAACTGAAAGTGCTGGGTATTGTGGTATTATATAAACATACAAAGAATTATCTGTAAGTTAGAAGTGTTACCAAAGAACTCAATAATAACAGTTTTATATGTGATGTTCTCGGTGGAAATTTTTCCGTAAAGTTGAATTATATTTTGATGTGAATCAGAAATACATATCAGCAATATTTCAATGTTATGGGTATAGAAGGATAACAAGGTCACTACTAAAACTACTCTATGGAGTGTATCGTGCTTGATAGAATGAAAAGGACATGTTAACCAAAGCGAAAACAAATACTCATCACAATTCATTTCAGAGATGTTTTCAAACAATTTCTGCCATTCTGACTACAAATAAGATATTTTCTACTGTGATAAATTTGTTTAAATGACTGTTGACCGTCGTCAACTCTCAAGATACTGTTTGTGATGAACTCTTTATATATTTATTATGACCAACTCCTTACATATTGACTGTGACCAACTCCTTACATACAGACTGTGACCAACTCCTTACATACAGACTGTGACCAACTCCTTACATACAGACTGTGACCAACTCCTTACATACAGACTGTGACCAACTCCTTACATACAGACTGTGACCAACTCCTTACATACAGACTGTGACCAACTCCTTACATACACACTGTGACCAACTCTTTATATATTGACAGTGACCAACTCCTTACATATTGACTGACCAACTCCCTACATACAGACTGTGACCAACTCCGTATATATCGACCGTGACCAACTCCTTACATATTGACTTTGACCAACTCCTTATATATTGACACTGACCAACTCCTTACATATAGACTGTGACCAACTCCTTACATATAGACAGTGACCAACTCCTTACATACACACTGTGACCAACTCTTTATATATTGACAGTGACCAACTCCTTACATACAGACTGTGACAAGCTCCTTACATATAGACTGTGACAAACTCCTTACATACAGACAGTGACCAACTCCTTATATATTGACAGTGACCAACTCCTTACATACAGACTGTGACAAGCTCCTTACATATAGACAGTGACCAACTCCTTACATACACACTGTGACCAACTCCTTATATATTGACTGTGACCAACTCCTTATATATTGACTGTGACCATCTCCTTACATATTGACTGGCTAACTCCTTATATATAGACTGTGACATCTCCTTATATATTGACTGTGACCAACTCCTTACATATAGACTGTGACCAACTCCTTACATACACACTGTGACCAACTCTTTATATATTGACAGTGACCAACTCCTTACATATTGACTGGCCAACTCCTTATATATTGACTTTGACCAACTCCTTACATACAGACTGTGACCAACTCCGTATATATCGACCGAGTGGGTTTATCCTCCTCATTGGGGTGTTGTCCCTTTCTTCCAAGAGGGCTGCTCCCAGTTGGGCCAGAGTAACAGGGGAGACTGACGTCGTCGTACCTGTCTATCCAGCTGGTCCCAAAAGTACTCGATAGGGGATAGGGACTGTATGGCGGCCAGTCCAGTGGAGGGATATTGTTGTTAATGACAGAGTTGCCACAGATCCTGGCTACATGGGGACGAGCATTATCCTGCTGGAATCTGTGGCTGTTATGCTGCAATAATGTAAAGACATGGGTCGGAGGATCTCTTTATCTAGCGTCAGTTAAATTACCCGCTACCACAACCAGTGGTGATTTAACTCCATGCGAGATCTCTCCCCACACCATAACCGATCCACCCCTATGCAGCAGTCGGCAAAATGTTCTCCACGATGTCGGTATACACGATGTCAAACTTCTGCTCGAAACAGAGTGAACCATGACTCGTCAGTTAACAAGTCCCGTCTCCACTGCCTCAATGATGGATAGGACGCCCAGACCAAGATCTATCAGCAACCCGCCCGGTTTCCCTTAGACGTCTTACAAGACATTCTATAGTACATATATGGACACCTAAATGTCTGGCAACCTGCATTTGCCTTTGACCTTGCGTAATCATTGCAATGGCCTGACCCCTCTGAACTCTGTCAGTCGTGCCATTGTTTTATGCTATCAGAAATTAATCAAAATATCAGAAAACGATGTATCTCTATGAAGACTACCTAATGGTATGATGAGCAGTGTTTCTCAATGTCACAACACTGCTATGCACGAGATTTTCCCATTTCGTGCTTTCCCCGGAAGACAATGTTACACAATGCAATATTAGATACAGGACCATGTGCACTGTAACCCAGAGAGTTGCTTGACCTATTGAAATCAGATTATGCATATTAGTACCGAATTATTTCCAATGATTATTTTTGTCATTTAATATTCATTTCAGAAAAATACCATTTGGTCTACGAATAAACATCGTTGCGATTCGTATTTCATGTTATCGAGTTTATAGTATAAATATCATGTCATTTCTAGAGGGTCCATTCATCAAAGTGTCAACATACTTGATACCATTGGTTCGTTGCTCGCCTTGACGTTCCATCCCTGCCTGGTGTTGGATCGTACTTCTCAGCGCACCCAAGTACACCTGCCAGGTTAAATTGTGCAGTGCCATTCACGCGAACACTAGAGTTCCAGGTACGGATCGGTACCCCATATTTCCGCTGCAGTTTTTACCTGGATCTATTGAGAGATAATTAAACCTGTAATAGATAATTCACATTAAACATTAGCTATTAAACAAACAGACCTGTAGATACGTGAAGTGTAAGACGAGCATGCCGTGATTCAGTAGGCGCAGGTTTTCTGGCACGACTCAGAAGATGTCACGGGCTATACAATGGTATTTTTGGTCTTGTTTTTCAATCCATGCCTGACTACAGTGAGAAATATTTGGTAAATGTTGCATTACAGAGTAGTCAACACTCTATAGAACAAAATCGAGACAACGGAGTAAAGGAAGGCATACTTCTTTCTCTGTCTGGAACCTCATTAGATTTGTACAGATATAACTAGAGACATCTAAAGTAATCTCTGATACTATTTATATCACAAAGTAATGAGACAATGCATGTTTAATTAGTTTGATAATGAATATCGGAAATGTTCATCTACAAATGAATGAAAGAATTAATGGTTGAATAAATGAAGAACCGATCTTCCTTTGTAAACAAGAAATACTTGACATTATCATCAGCTTCCTCTCGCCCGAAAAAAAAAAGCACTTTCGCGATTTTAAAACATCTTTAGAATATCCACCTGTAAAAGTATACATATCTCTATAGATGTGGCTTATGTATATGAAGGTAGTGAGATATTTTATTACGTCTATTAAATACATCCCGTCTTTATGTGAATAGTATTATATCTCAAGTTTTATGTTTTCGTTGTCGGGGAGGTCGACCGATCACATACGTACCCCGTGTACCTGTTTCTCCATTGTACCTCCGTTTTAAGTATTGCAATATATCAGCAACACACTAGTTTTGTAAATGAAATACGCTCTTTCTCTTTCTTTCATTTTCGTTTTATTTCTTTCAATAAGAAACCAGTTCCTTTGTCTAAAACCTTTTGATCTTTTGATAGTACAAATTGTATGTGCTTTTTAACAACAGTTTTATATGTACTACAGTACAATTAATCAATGGGATTTTATTCTTGTCGTCACGATATGCCATATGGCAACTTTTATGAATAAAAATAGTTTATAAAAATCGTCAGCATCTCCGATCCCGCTATCTTTAAATCCTTTGTGTAGAACAATAAAACACTAATCGGGAAGTCGTTTTTGGTATTCAAGTATTATTTTAATATAGATCTGAAATTCAGAGTATTTATTTACAAAAGAATCGGGCACAAGTTAGTTCAACTTATAGTTGCCCTTTCCTCAATGCATTGCGTCTTGGCTTCCTCGACATTCCTTGATTACGATCATTTACTTGTATGAGATCCTGACAAGATCGGCATTGATTGTAACCCATGGACTTTCAAGGACAGGCTCAATTTTTGAGATTTTCCCCCTTCTTTTTTGCCACAGGCCAGACAGATGTATCATCTGCCTCTACATAATTCGAGTTTGAAAAAGGTTAACTAATACATGAAAATTATGGGAAATATCTTAAATACCTGCAACACTAAAACTATCAAGTGAATGAACACTTATGTAGTTATACGTGGGGTTCACCAGGACAAATTTGAATCGAGCTGGTTTGAAATCTCGATCTCGCATTTGACAAGTAAGTAAATTAAAGGGGAATTCAATATTTACGATTCCGAAATCGAAGTTGTGTTAATATCCACACCGAAGTAAGGCACCGTAACTGATGACTGTGATGTATAGAGGAGAATAACGGCAATATAATTGATGTTCGCGATATATAATATGATGTGTAAAAGAGACATTAGTGTTAACTGATGTTTGTAAGGAAGAGTGGGGCGCTGCAAGTTAACTGATGTTTGTAAGGAATAGTGGGACCCGACAAGTTAACTGATGGTTGTGACGAATAATGGGACCCGGCAACATAACTGATGTTTGTGACGTATAGAGGAGCTAGGGAATAGACTAGGCAACATAACTGATGTTTGTGACGTATAAAGGAGCTAGGGACTAGACTAAGCAACATAACTGATGTTTGTGACGTATAGAGGAGCTAGGGACAAGACTAGGCAACATAACTGATGTTTGTGACGTATAAAGGAGCTAGGGGACTAGACTAGGCAACATAACTGATGTTTGTGACGTATAGAGGAGCTAAGAGACTAGACTAGACAACATAGCTGATGTTTGTGACGTGTAGAGGAGCTAGGGGACTAGACTAGGTAACACAGCTGATGTTTGTGACGTATAGAGTAGCTAGGGGACTAGACTAGGTAACATAACTGTTGTCTGTGGTGTATAAAGAGCCTAGACTAAGTTATTTTCGTAAAATTGTTTCGAGTGTTCAAAAGAATTTTCTTTAAACTTTATTAAATGATTTTATGTTAAACTCTCGAACTGTAGGTCTTAATAAATCATGAATCACGTGTATAGACTAGTTTTAAAAAGCGTGAGCAGGAATCACTTGGCTATTGTAGATATTTTATTGGCTAGATTTATGACAGAGATACCTGAACAACGCCCAGCTTTTATCTGTGTTTCGTTATCCCCAATAGGTTCACGCTGTACATTTTAAACATGTTTATTTCCACATAAGTGTTTTTGAAATATCAGCTGAAAAGGAGGTAATGGAAAACAGACGTGTGTTGTGATTTACTACAAGTTAATAAGCTTGGTCTACATTGTTCGGACTGTTTTCTTCCTTCCGGTAGCAATTTTCTTGATATCACATTAAATATATCAAAATAGTTGTGGAAGTAATAAATGATACCCACGTACCCGTTCACATCTTCGTGTGAATATATTTACTCGTGGTGTGTGGGGTACCGAGTTCTAGGTCCCTTCTCACAAAATTATCAAAATTACTTAAAGAGAAATATTGACATGAAATATATTTCAATTAATCCTTAATCGTGATGTACAAAATAAGACGACATCTCTCAGAGATCTGGCGCCCTATCGCGCCCTATCAATGGATCTTTATTTGGTCTTCAAAAGATGGACATTTGTCCTTCTCTATTTGGTTTTTTCTCTTCTTTATATATAAATTGAAATTTATTCTTAATCTTTATCTATCAAATCAAAGATGAAAACTTGTCGGCCACTTTGTTTTTCTGACCAGTCCCAAAAACAGATGGCCACAAGTGGGAGGTAAGGGGATTTGAGAAAGATTCATCATTTTCTTCAAGAAATAACAACAAACTTTAATCGACAAAATCCAAGACAGTCCCCTCTTAACCCTTTTGTTTTGTTTTTGTTTGTAAGTAGAGACGAACCTACATATGAAATCTGAGAAAGATTTACGAAGTACCTCCCAGGTAATTTCATTGTCAAAATTTAAAATGGCCGCCTGTCAGCCATTTTGGTTTTCTGTACAATACCAAGATCAAAAGGGCACAACTAGGATAGAATGTTGTCGAAAAAAAATGGCTTCCGCAGATATGGATATACAAATACTATTGGAAAGGATGTATTGTTCGACTCCCCTGGACAGTCTGATTTCAACATCATAAAGTTATTATGAATATGTTTTTTTTCGTTTTGCGGTTTTACCCGATGTTCGGTGAGAAAAAAGGGAATTTATGAAATTTAGTACAATGTTCTGTACGGATTTGATATTCAATTAATATATTTTCGCGTTTTTTTTACTACATGGAATGTTGCCCACAATATTATGGAGTTTTATCGTGTTTTTTTTTCATATTGGTGAGTCAACTCCATACTGTCATACAATTGTAAGAAAGTCTTTAGAACGTCAGAACAATTTGGAATACCTCGAATATTCCAAACAAATATAACATTCACAACACAGTAAATGTGCCATATTGTGGAACTGATATTAAACGATTATCGCCCGGATTAGTGGGGAGACGCTTAACCATCCAAAAAATATTGTTCATTATCCTTATATATCACTACAAAAGGAAATACCTACTTGTCAAGCGTTCGGGAAGGTTAACCTTCCTTTGCTTTATCGACGGCGCCCGCCAAGTAAATCTTGATCGATCCAGGCTATCAATGACATATTTGCAAATGAGAACATGGTAAACAAGGAACCCCCATCAATGGTCTATATATATATGTTTGTTTATGTTGTCTTCATTGCTAATATGTCAGCATTCTTTGTTTTAACAGCCATTTACGTTCCCACAAACCGGTTATAGGTACTCCAGCTCTCCGAGTAACAGGGAACAGGTAGGAGCACAATACATATGTATTATACTGATCTTAAAGATCAGGAATAGTGCCATGTCATGATAATGTCCACACAATTTATCACATACATACATATACAGGGATTATTCCGTTTATTGCAAATATTTTAAATGCACATTTTTAGACATATTCCAATTTCACAGATTTTTTTTATCAGCATGTCGGCAACAAATTATTTATAGCATTGCTTAATGAATTACAGTTCAATATCTATAAAGAATTGGTGTTTACAAATCAGTTATATACCAAAAAGGACTTTTTCTCTTTCTTTGGTTGAAATCAGAATTATCATTGTACATATATTTATAGTGTTTATCAACAAAAAACATAAACCTATAGGATATCAAAAGACTTAAAATATTCAAATTTGAATTACATACTGCTGACAGAAGGGTACAGAACACCCATTAATATTAACATTTTTTTATCGACAAGATCATTTAATAGGTAAGTGATTGATTTTACCAGAGGTCCTACCAAATATATCTACAACAAAAAATTCTTGGAATAATGCTTTATACATCACAAAGCTAGAAAATACTTTAAAGAAATTTAAAACATATCATTACATGTACAATATCTGATGACTTCCTCATATGCCCTGCTTGTCACTCACTGAGTCATTAGAATTACCAGACTTGTTAAATTAAGTAACTACACAGCACAAAAGACAGTGTTATCATCACAGGTCAGAGTTTTCTCTAAGACCCTCAATTTTTCTAATTGAAATAGTCCAAGGGCTTGCATCCTATATGAAAATAAGTAACACTTTAATAATTTCGGGGTCCTTTGTCAACTTAAGGAGTTAAAATGAAGGTTTTTGAGAGTCAGGAAAAACTCTGACAGCCAGATGCTTGATTGGATTAGTCAACCCCACTTAAAACAATTCTGATAACTAGGAAACACAGTTACATGTACATGAAAAAACCTCAGTTGTACTGTAAGCACAGATGTCCTGCACACAGCAGAAGTTTAAGGGGGAGGGGTCAATCTAGCACAACATCTGTCATATGTGTACCTAAATTTTTCCACTGGTAAGAACCAGAAAACCTAATTCTGACAATATCAAATAGTTTGTATTGTTACACTGAATAATGATGGGTCAAACCAGTTATCATCAAAGCTTGTCTTCTGTGTTGTAAGAATTACTTGGTAATAAATACTGAATAATCAAGCAAAAAAAAACATTTACACAAAGATAAGAATGAAAAATGATATTTATACATCTGATAAGTAAATCTTGGTGGTGAAATGTGATTTTGGACATCCAAACAGGTATCGCATGTATGTAAATAAATACTATTTAATGAAACTATTTCCAAAAAATCATAGTTATCTCCCCTTTACAATAAAAATCTGTGCCAACCAATGGATTCATACAAACCTATTTTTATCAATGCATCTTCCAATAACATCATACTTACTTTTCAAGAGAACTGAATACATTATTGTCAATATAGTCTGTTAAAAGCTTTATCATTACATCATCAAAGTCAAAAGTTCAGCGACTGGCTTATAGATCTCGGATGCCCTCACCTCTTAAAAATGTACTCACCATAGCTATATTAACTCCCAAGTTACCATATTTTTAACGCACCAGTTACTAATTAATTGTTATTAATCCTATGTCATATGACTTAATGGAGCTGTGACTGGCTAAGCATTCTCATTGCTTCCATTGTCACGTCATAACTTTATGATGTCATATACATTGCACCATCACCAAACAATGAGATAAACGATGAGAATCAATCTCATAAAATACCGAATTTATAAATAGAAACTCCTGTAAGTTACTCTATATATTAATTGTTTGTTCTATCACTGTTTTGCTTTTTTTTTTTCTTTTTTCTTTTTTTTGTACTTTCTTTGTATATTAAATTGTGCTTTATACTTTGGGAAACCATTGACATGTTGAAGATTCTTTCCTGGAGCAGGTAGTAAGATCACTGATGTGTCAAAGATTCTTTCCTGATGAAGGTAGTACAATAATTCAGTCTCTCTTTTGATTACTCTGCTAAAATCCAAGATGGTTTGAACTTTGAAAGGGTGAAAAGTGTGCATATCACCAAGTTATTGACTTCATCCAATCTCCAACATCATTTATTTCAGTCAATGATTGACACTGGAGATATCTATTGTCCAATTCAAATAAGCCTAAAGTTAAAGAGATATTTTCATTTTCCTATAGATCCGACTCGATCTCTGGGTATTAGTCTCAGTTCTGATCCATGTTTCAAAAATACATTTCCTGAAAAAAAAGAAACACAAATCAGAAATGCAATTTTTCAATTAAAAACAAACAAATTCATTAAAATTCAAATGTCACTTTTGATAACCTGGCTGAGAACCACTTAAATTCATTAATTAATTAAACATGCTTTATGAAGCAGATGAATTACAATGTGTTTTTAGAGGAAGGTTTATTAGAAAGTGCCAACAAAACTGCCAATTTTGCCAAAATCATGTAATAACTGATTTAACAGCAATAAATATCTATAAATTCCTGTGATCTCAGTTTTATCTTTAGACATTTTTGCCCTATTTACTTTGGGTAGCATGTGACGGGCCTCAGGCATGTTGTTCAGTGATGTTTGAATGAGCTTTACCACAAGGAATTCCCTTTAAAATGACACTGGCTGTACATGGAGCGATAACCAAGCAAACAAACCAATAGGTTAAAGCTAAGCTTGCCATCATATCATTTCAGGAAAAGTATTGACAATCTCCTGTCTGTATGTCACTGACCTCAGCAGGTATTTTAACATGTGAGTAGAATACATAACATTTTTGGGTTTTTTTTAGGGGATAGGTCTTATAGATGAATAACAGAACTTTCAATAGTTATACACTGCAGCACACAAATGATCATTTTGAATAGTTTTCACAAGTTCAAGTCACTCATTTCCCTCAATTTAAGTTGGACAAACTCCTGACATTAATTGATACTGGAATGATGTAAAAATAATTTGACTATACATTGACTAGTTTACATGTATCTTCAATAATAAACTTCTCTTAAATTTCTTAAAGTATCAAGGATTATTTTTTCAAATGCCTCAACAAGGGATCAAAACCAGGAACCTCAAATAAACTAGACTTTCTCTATATTGAGCTATCAAAGCAATTCTCATACTCCAGCCAGTAGGAAGCAACAAATGTTCCTGGGGTGATAAGAATATCAGTCTTACCAGCACTCTGAGCCGGATTTATTCCGATCCCATCATTGGTTATGATGGCACTGGTGGCAGCTGGTACCTTAAACTGGAACAACAAAATAGGTTACTAGTAAAATATGTACAGATGTATTAACATTACGACAACAGCTACTTCAGAAAATTTGTTACGTGACAATCATTGTGTCTATAGATTCTTTTTCTTGTTTTTGTCTCTTTTTTGAAAAATGGAACATAAATACAATTAGCTTGTAATGTTTTTTAATTGTTCTTGACAAGGATTTGATTGTGTAGCTTAGAGCAGTACAGAAAAATATATACAGTATAGGCCACCAAGTAAGATAAATTTTGGTCATATCAACATTAGAAGTGGAACAAGCAGATAGTGTGTTCAACCCCTGAGGAAATGTATACAATGACTCGTAACGGAAGAGATGACAATAATGATAAGCGGATTATAATACCTCTTCTGCAGCAAACTTGAGTACTGCTGTGAAAGGCGTCGCCTCTGGTACGCTAAGACTGTAACGCAAAGTTTAGAAATCATTACCATGTAAGTTTCTGGATTCAAACATCCTTTTCACTGGATAATTTCAACTTATATATACTAACTTGAGTGCTTAAGAAAAAAAAATCCTCTGGACCCGATATGTACCATCAACCATTTGATATTTAACAAAAAGATTTCCACTGCAGAAAAATCTGGCATCATGGCCTGTGAGAACACTAAATAACAGTATACATTACATATCTTTTAAATCGTAGCTAAGTATACACATGCACATGAAAGAGATGTCATTTCATAATGCATTACTTCACCAGGTATCGAACCCAGGAACCCTGACTTACTAGTCTAGAATTTACAACACTTATTCTTACACATTTCTAGCCAATACATGGTCAGTGTCTTAAGATATAGACTGTATTTTGATGCTGGTAAAGACAGACAAAAATGGCTGGCCTCTGGTGAGCCACTTTTGTTTCTCTGCCAGAGTCAATAAACAGCTTATATTTTAAGACATAGCAACATTGATTGAAGATTCAGACTACCAAAATGTTAACAGTTTGTTATTCAATTTTTTGTTTACCTGAGGTTGATATTGTGCTGAATTTGGTTCTATGACATGAATAATGTCAAAATAATTGCTCAGTGAGGAAATATATTGCGGACTCCAAATTCAATGAAAGATTTCCAATATTCTTTAATAAACTTCTTCTTCAAATCATATGTAACAGCGAGATATGATACTGGACTCCCGAGATATGACCACCCCCCCCCCCCCCCAAAAAAAAAAAAGATATGTTGACCAAAAGTCTAAGATATGTAATAATGAAATAAATAGTTATTTTAATTTTACATATCATCACATGATGTGGCATCGAAAAACAGAAATATAATTCTTTAAAGGAAGCGAGGAGTCTGAAGCAGCTTAAGTAGTTTGGTTAAAGCTGACTTCTTGTATATTTATACAATATTGTTACCAACTCAACATGGTGTGAGGTTTTGATTCCAGCACTTTTAAATAACACATTATTGCACCATCTTGTGAGAAGAAAGAAAGATAATGTGAGTGAAAGATCCTGACGAGAGACGAAATTTAAATAAATAATTCTGGATGTAGTGACACTGAAAATCACCATATGGACATATAACACACTGAAACAGGATAGTGTACTCACACTTTATACGGCAGTTTTGGATCCGAGGTCAGAGTGATCTTGAATGTAACTTTAGACCTGAAATATTTAGAGTAAAGATTATATGTATTATTGTGTCATAAAATTAGAAAAACGACAACGAAAGAGAAATATGTATAATAGTGTTGAACATGCTTACATTTTGACAAGATTCACCCGGCTTCCCTGACACGCAATACCGGAAATGGATTTCCCTAAGATGACGTAAAACATAACATATGAATAGAAATGGTCTGTTGTATTTTTTCTTATTTCTTGAAAAATCTGTATTTTTTCTTGGATGACTGAAGGTCGCCGTCCAATTAAATTAAACCTGCATTTTATGAATATTAAATAAACAAACATAACAGTGGTGCCACCTATCGGGAACACCACTTTATGATTCTATATTTAATGCCTTGATCATGTGACAGCAGGTGCTAGTTGGATTTTCTATACCGCGAAGAGCAGACGGTCCGAAATGGCAAAATGCCGAATGCTAGCTGTTGTGTGTTATTTGTTTATATCTGTGATTTCTGCATCGGACGATTTAAATAGTAACTATCAATATCCCCAAAATGAAGAAGAGACAAAGAAGGCAGATGAAGAAGAAGGAGTTGATAAATGGGGCCCTATCCCAGGTACGTCTCACTACGGTTTTACACAGGGAGGTGTGTCACATGTTGTTACTCTTTATTGGATTTATTTGATATTAGTAGAATGTGGAAACTATTTAGATAAGACTATCATTAAACATTGAAGTGACTTTGTTTTCAAATCAACATATTATAATTTTATTTTAAAACAGTAACTTGGCCGGTTTTTTTTTTTTTTTTTTGTTTTTTTGTTAAAAAATGAAAAAAATGCGATGTTTAAGTCTTACGAGAAACTCGTATATACTTTTACCATTCCGCAAACACATCATTAATTGGACACCTGTAATGAATTAAACTAGTTGATTGTTATAATGATCACTGACACAATGAACGACTATAATTTCGAGTAGACGAAAACTAGTTTTTTAATCATATTCACTTCACTTTTGCTTTTCTCGCCATGCAATAATTTGATATGCCATTTGTAATGTCATTTGAACGATTTCTATCTTGGTGAAAAGGATACAGTTTGCATTTGTAATGATTTGTTAAAATACGTAAGTGAGAAACCACCCCTGACCCCGTAAATATCTCCCGTCGGTACTATCACCTGCTTGTGCAGATAACCTAAGGAAAGGCCACTAGGTACCCTTGGTTGGGACAATTCGGATAAAACTTGACCAGTTTTTGTGACCAGCGGTATACTATATTGTACTTCAAGAAAATCCCTTTATTACAATTTTTGACACGATAAATAAAGTTTAGATGAATATGTAAATAAATAAATAGATATAAACACTGTTGTTGCTTAAACACAACTGCAGTACAGAATACAAAACATACCTCTTACATTACATGCCAGCTTTCAAACATGTACATTTCTTGATAAATTTCTTATTTTTTTTATAAAAAGAATCAATAATAAAATGTAACATGGTTTCAATTAAATATTCGTGTTTAAAAAATAAATAAATAAAATGGATTATCCAAATGAAATATATTTCTGAATATAAAGCTATAAACACTATATTCACACTTCGTCTTCATCCCAGATTATCATTTTCCTTTCGGACGAACGAGACTTGGATCAGACTTCATCAACGAGAAAAACAATTTGGGAGTTACAAATAAAAGATAAGGGATACCTTAAAGAGTGAAAGCTTTCTTACGGAACCATGTCAAATTTCTCCTAATCTCTAACGATTACATACACAGATGTGATTCTAATTCTCAGTATCATCTAGTATTACCTGAACTTTTATCAAAACAGTGGATTATCTAATAATTACAGCTGACATGTACTTTACACAATTTCTTATTTTTCCTTAAAAAGCAATCGGTTTCAAACACGTTCACATTTGTTCTCTTTAGTTATTTTTACTGATAAGCTAATGGTTTCAGTATATATGAGATCATTTCCGTAAACCATATTTTATTGTTTTATATCTTATGATATCATACCGTTTTATTTTAATGTTGACATATAAAGAATGTATATTACTTGATAGATCACCACCGTCTGAAACAGGTAAACTGAATACGTACGCACAAGCGATGCTAGGGACCAAAATATCTAAACCAAGAAAGGGCGTTATACAAAAATAGAGGTGCAGAAGTGCATTTACCCATCATTCAATCTAGCCAATTGATAAATTTTGTTAAAAATTTAGATAATTCGCGCTGTTTAACGGCACAGTATATAGCCCGAATTATTCTGACTCCTATCAATTTATCGACTCCAGATCGACATTAGAATGTCAGCATGATTAGGACTGACAGCAATGAAACGACAAAGCTTTGGGAATAGAATGTCCACCATTCATTCATTCAGCCTGTCGGTGTAGTAAGCAAAAATCACGGAAAAAGAAGTGAAGAATGATTCTTAACTTATGGACTCCATAAGAAATTTACAAGAAGTTGACATAATTCCTGTTTTTTAGCAGATATCACGCATCAATTGTTCAAGTTATTCGTATTGTCATAAACTTATTCATTATGATTTTCGAAAGTCTTCATCCAAACAGTTGTTCTAAACCAATTTTATGTGACGTTAAATCTTTCAACCCATGGCCAAGTGTATGTGATAGAAAACGCAACATTTCTCGCTAAAGCTATCACACGGATAGATTTTCAATACATATTCTACGTGTATGTACACTACAGGGTTGTGTCACTCTATATGTCCTTTAAGTACATCACACCTATTGAAGAGGTGTGCTCGCCACTGATCCACCCGACCACTTAATGACTATGTTACGGTCTCCGTGTGATATACGAGGACTCTCCTACCTAGGTGAAACCACAATGTCACAGAAATCTCATACAGTCTATGTAATAGTTGAGGTTAACTTGTGTGGAATCTTATATAGGATTTAACCTTAAATGGAAACTTTCTCAAAGGCAGATACATCATTTATAATAATTATCTAGGTGTATATATTTCTAATTTGGTTCGATGTTCATATTCAAATTGAATATCTCTGAATTATTAATCTATTTAAGTATAGTGAGTTCGATTTCTCTCAACGTTCAACCAATGAAAGGTCCTCATAAGGTCGTATTTTTCTTATCTTTTACTAAAAATACACTATATATTATATAACTTGTCTGGGATCGCGATCACGATCGCTGCGCAAATTCAAGGCATATGGTTCGATCATTTCGTTGAGCATGTTGTGTTTCTCAAACAATTACAACAACTTCTCAGGGAACTGTGACAATGGCTCCGGCTACTGTGACAGTGTCTCAGGGAACTGTGGCAATTTCTCAGGGAACTGTGGCAATGTCTCAGGGAACTGTGACTATGTCTCCGGGAACTGTGACAGTGTCTCAGGGAACTGTGACTATGTCTCCGGGAACTGTGACAGTGTCTCAGGGAACTATGACAGTGTCTCCGGGAACTGTGACAGTTTCTCAGGGAACTGTGACAGTGTCTCAGGGAACTGTGACAATGCTTTATGGGAACTGTTACATTTTTTCAGGGAACTGTAACAATGTTTTATGGGAACTGTTACAACTTCTCAGGGAACTGTGACAATGGCTCCGGCTACTGTGACAGTGTCTCAGGGAACTGTGGCAATTTCTCAGGGAACTGTGGCAATGTCTCAGGGAACTGTGGGAACTGTGACAGTGTCTCAGGGAACTGTGACAATGTCTCCGGGAACTGTGACAGTGTCTCAGGGAACTGTGACAGTGTCTCCGGGAACTGTGACAGTTTCTCAGGGAACTGTGGCAATGTCTCAGGGAACTGTGACTATGTCTTCGGGAACTGTAACAATGTTTTATGGGAACTGTTACAACTTCTCAGGGAACTGTAACAATGTTTAATGGGAACTGTGACAATTTCTCAGGGAACTGTGACAGTGTCTCCGGGAACTGTGACAAGGACAATTTTGCACTGTATTGGTTCAGTCCTTAGTCAAAAATGTCTTTATAGCTCATTTGGATAGCTTGTGGTGGTTCTTCCACATGATGTTCACTTAGGTAACCACCACTAAGACTATTACTGTTCACTGGGTGATAAACAAACCTATTAATGTTATTTTTCTTCCGTCCATAAGATTTCAGAGACATTGGCAAATTTTACACCATTATTATCACTACGGTAAAATGGAGAGGTTATTGTATAACATTAAGCAATTACCAGACTTTTAAGTATAATATGAACGTTTACTGGAACACAAAATACCTGTCAGTGTTGCTCTCGTCAACTTCAGATGTTAAAGTGCTGACAATGACCCAGTGAATGCGAGTAAATATTTTTTCATAGTGAAGAATAAATTATAATCGCGATGAAAGTGGAGACGTTTTCGGGTATTATACAGATTGGGTTGAAGTGACTGTGTATGATAATCATGATTTAGTAGTTTTTTAAAAGACAAATCAGCTGGCATTTATTTCTAAAGGCACACGAGAAAAGCAGATTATGCCTAAACACTCCTGTTGTAGGTTTTCGTTATTAATTTGAGGTTTTCATAATATCGGAAATGAAGCTGACGAAGAATTAATCCTACACATTTAATTTGCTGAAACAAATAAAGACTACATGTAAATGACGAACATATTATACCTCAAGATCAAGGTTACCAACCAGATTCATAGAATATCATCACTTAAATAACAAAATAGCCGATATACAGAGCCTTTTATCAATACGAGAGAGACACCATGGACTACAACATGTATGGATATGTTTGATCGGTCTTTCGTTAACATCAGGAGATGGGTGATATTCTGCTTTAGCTACTTGTCGAGTTTTATCTTCTGTCGATATTAGACGGAAGATAGTGACACCGATTACTGACGATACTGCCTGTCTAAGGTCGGATATTAGGCCAGTGTGTGATGGCGTTGCCCGATATGTAAAGTTTTGTCAGCTATTATGACATTTCGTTTACGCAACACTTATTCAGGAAACTTTTAGAAGTTGACATAAATGGGGTTTCCATAATGTGGAAACTTTGTTTTAAACATATATTCAATTATAATAATAGAGCGATCTGGATGTGTTAAAATCAGAAATAAGACTGCATTGAATTTTTGATACCGAAATCCCCGTACAAACATCTGAACTAAGGTGTACATGTATAAGCTGTGCACGTTTAACACTATGCTGCATATCCATTCATTTACTTTCCTTTGGGTGTAACATGAAAATCAACTAAAGCTGAATTGTATTAATTCCCAGTCAAACTTCAGCAAAGATAGCACGCCCCGTCTCTCTCTAATGGATGACTAAGCTGAAATCAAGTAGCGTGTAGAAGATTCGATAAGTTAATTTACTGAATTTAATTAAACCCAAAATAGCGTATTTAATATTTATAGGGTTTTTACGTGCAATTTATACAGTATTGACACCAGAATGAGCCAATAAGTAACACCGACACACATTAAATAAACATTTCACTGATAAATAGCATATCACATTAATCTGAAACCTTGTATAGACACCATTGCTGGTATCCTTACCATTACAATAAAGCAAGGGAAAACCCAACCAAGTATATTAGTATTTAAAACA